CTGTGTTGGATTTGATACCGACAGTGAACTGTCTGAGGAGGCCGAGTTCGAAATTTTAACTTCTTCAGCTTTTACCTTTTTAGAGAACATTAATTAATAGGTAATATTTTTAAAATACAGTACAGATCATCAGAACACAACAAAATATGTTAAACAAATAAGTATTAAAATACAATGACTTAATGTTAAAATAAATCTCTTATAATTGATTACTTTTTCGGATTAAATCACTTTCACTTGTTTCACTTTAATTAATAACTTTAGAAACTTTAATTTTATATTATATAAAAATTACTCACAAAATGTAGATTCTCACGAACATCTTGGTTTTCCAAAACGTGTCAGTGAATTCGACACTGCAGCGATGACGTGTGATAATTTTTCATATAATTTAAGCAGTCAAACTCTAACCTCTCTTCGGTACACAACTTTGTATATAGTTCATAATATTCCGAAGTGTAAATTAAATTAAATTAGTTTTGTAGCAGTAAGGGTGTCTTTTTTTTTGGTTGGTGCCAATGAAACAGCAGATAACAGTGCAGCACCATAAAGAATTGGGCCCGTCTAGCAAAGTTTCCAGCTGGCTTCCAAATAGGTTACAAGCATTAGGCTTGGAGCCCTCACGAAAGCACGATTCCGCTTGCTTAGGGGTATGCGGAGAACTCGTGGTAAATTTTCGGGAGGCGTCTACGCGTTTTCGTAATCGCCTCTTCTAATATGCTCCTGTTCGAAGACTATTTCAGCATCGTAGAAATCAACTACAACTGGAACATTCACGGCGGCATCTACGGCGAGATCTAAAGAGCGATTGACTTGTCTGCACTGAGTAGACGATGTGACTAGCATAGACTTTTGTCTGCACAATAGACCGCATAGCGTATCTATACCATAAGCACCCACTAGAAGAAATGACTTAGGAAATTAGGGCGCGACGTGCGTCTTTATGGGGCGCGACGTGCGTCTTTATGGGGCGCGTCTAGTATGATTCTTAGATTTTAAGCGACCGCCACTGTGGTACTGTAAAATAGCGTATGTATGGCATGGACACCGGACGCTCCACCCCGATGCACGCTCGTCATTCAATTTCTACTTAAACCTAATCTCTTCTTCTTCTTCTTCTTTTTCATTCAGGCGTTTTAACGTGGTAGAGTCATACTCCAGCTGTATTATGGTTTTAGCACGAATGGGTTAGCTCGACCACGCTCTCACAGAATACCAGCGTAAAATAGCACCTTAATGCTGCTGTGTTTCATATGGTGAGCGTAGAGAACCGGAGATCCTTTTTACCGGAAACGAGGTACTCCATCTTTTCAGTGGTGACAACGCATTTGCATTTTGAGTCTTAATCGAGGATAAATGTGTGATAAAAATGTCTATGGACCTCAGCATCAACTTAACAGGTAAGTAGAATGTGTGCCCATCTGTCACCCTTATTCTATAAAAAGTCTATTTATAAGCCTCTCTCGGTACAAGGTGGAGTGTCTAATTATCATGCTTCAGAAGTAGCTCTCACAAAATATCAGGGTGAAATAGCCGGTCCCGAGTAATGCTGTTGTGTTTCGTGTGATGAGTGTAGACGACCGAAAAACCTTTTTACCTTTACGAGGCATTCCATCTTAGCCCTCAGCATTGACAACTCTATGGACCACAGCATCCACTTATAATCAGGTAGACTGTGTGCTCATTTGTCACACTTATTCTGTAAAAAGACTATTACCCTTAAAGTACCACCAAAATTTTAAGGAGTATCGTTAAAATTTATTTGTAGAAGTAACATGGTCATCACAATGACAAGAACCGTCACGCTGGTAATTTAGGCAACGTGCAGACTTCTGAGACAACATGATGAAAGTGTCGGGAGGTCACTCCATCCTCGGTTGAGCCATTGTCCTGCACTCGATATCTGACTACTACGGCAAGACTGAGTATCCAGATTCTTAGAAGACTGAGTGGTAGCTCAGATGGCTAGCATTCGCTGTAAATTTCATAGTACGCGAGCGAACCGGGTTCGATTCCCACCGGCACCAATGGAAATGTTAATTGCAATTTTAAGTGCTGATTTACGACGTGCGTTTCTTTTTATTTAATATTTTTACCGAACAAACAGGTCCTTGATTGTTTTAAGTAGAATACATTTTAATATAATCACCTTGTCCGCATTATTAGCAGAGTGCAGGATGTAAATTTAAGTGGAACAAAATCATACAACTCGTTGAAAATTATATCACTGGACAATGGTTCAGAGGAAATAAAGATACACTTAACATTGTGATTTTAAATTGTTTACTGTGATAACTTATCTCAAACTACATTTAAATATTTCGTGCTAAAAGATCTTGTTTTCATAAATCATAACGATGCACAATTTAATATATTTATCTTTTTTATTTATTGATTAAGTCTCTAAGCAGTTGTTATGTGTAAAATATAATTTATACAGACATGTTGTATATACAAATAATACAACTAACGTACCTGCTGTACTATTTCACCATATCACATGGCTCTCAATACAGAAAAATTAAATAATCGTTAACATTATTGGCACATCCAAAAAATAAGAATCATGAATTTATTCAAAATATTTTTTATTAGATTTAATTTTCAACTAAATTACAATTTTACATATCACATCAAGCATTTTACAAAGTGTTGTCTAAAATATTAGCACGGATGGTGTAAAAGTCATCTGCATAACAATGAATCTTACTGTTTTGTAACATATCGTTGATATGCAGAAGGCACAGGGTAGGCGACAGCACGCACCCATGTGGAGTACTATCGTTCACAGGTTGGAATCGGAGCGGAGAACTAGTTACGACCTTAATGCTCCGATCTGAAAGAAAACTGATGATCCAATTGCATAAATTTCTCAATAAGCTCGTATGATGAAAGCTTATAAAGAAGTGCTTTGTACAAAACCTGATCGATGGATCTGCGCTATGCTATATAATATAATACATTATATTATACTTAACGTACGTATACTTAAAGGATATACATATACATGTGTACGTAAAGAGTATCATTTCAAATAAGTCTATTCGCAATGCTTAGAAAACTTCAAATTTAAAAATCTGTCAAATTATTTTTTTCTAACCTAAATATTTTATTTTAATGCATTAAATCTAAATTTCTTTATTCTTAAGTTTTATAATATCTTATTATTATTTTTTAAATAAATATATTACAAATTTGTCATTTGTATTTGTGTAACAATCACTTGAAGAAGTGAAAAATAAATTATTGTAAATATAAAAGGTAAGGAAAATTCTTTAATGTTTTTTGTTTGGCAATCAATGTCGAGATTTTAATTCTGAGAGATAAACTATATCGTATATCTATTCCCTATTCTTTGAACTCTCACATCAGTCGTTTTGTAAATGCCACAAATAATTATAGTGTCAGTTTTAATTAATAACAATCACATTTGAGATTTAGTTTATATGAGCTCTGGCTTTGATTAGGGTAGACCCTGCACTCTTTCACGGTATACCAATGTAAATTAGCATTACAACTGAGTTTCATATAGTGAGTGGAAGGCATTCCAACTATGTCCTCAGGAGTAACAATGCATCTGTACTGTATTTTGATTCTTAACTTTAGATAAATACCGTTTGTTCGTTTGACCCCCCATTATTTCAAAAGAAAATGGGGCAAAAGTTATTAAATTCACCTAGCTCCATCTCTACTGCCGCAAGGACACTGGTAAACATTTGTGTTCTTTATTTCATTACTATGGCCACACATAATTGAATTACTATGTCCTACGTACTATAACAGACGCAGCGAACAAAATCTGTGCGGAGCAAACTGCAAAAGGTACAGAGTACCTTCACAAGGCAAATTTACAAATAGCCCCACGGATTAGTAGGCCGAAGTTACAATGTGCCGCAACAGATGGAGAAAAAAGGTTCTCGAGTAGCAGCCTCGTACCAATAGGCGAAGTGTAGGGTGATCCCCCACTAGATAGAGTGATGACCTGGTAAGACATGCAGGAAGCCGATGGACGTAGGTGGCTCAGGACCGGGCTTTGTGGCATTCCTAGGGGGAGGGCTATCTTCAGCAGTAGACTTGTGAAGGGCTGTAATTATGATGATAAAGTAAGTTTGAGACTCTTACGCGTGCTGAAGGCAACCAAGTCTAGGCATCTCTTTTATTACGTAGTACATATGACTTCAATGTCATACATATAAATTAATCATCAAGTAGTTAGCGCCGTGAGATGGCGGTGTATGAGTATCCTTAACCCTGTTCCGTCTCGTGGGCCGTGGGTATCGTAAGGGTGTATTTTAGGATATACCAAAAGGATCTGATGGCTTCCGATGGATGGCAGCAGTATCGATGGTGCAAAATGTCAGATACTGCGCTAATCAGTCCGCCTTAAAATACCAAGCGTGGCAATACCTCTTTAAAACTAAATCAGTGTATGTGCGACAGTGGACTTTAACCGACTGATGATGATGGTGATGATGTCAAGATCCCTTAATCTTTTTAAAGATTTAGGAATCTAATTACATTTACTAGCATCAGGATCGATTTCAAGTTTTTCGCGAACAATGAAATTTAAGGCTTAGGTTTATGTACCACGGCTGTGACAACCAAAGTAAAAATTTGGAAAATCAATGGATGAAATCTTAGCATATCAATAATTATATCATCATCATCAACTTCATTACTACCTGTCGTAAGTCCTCATATATTTGCCATAGTTGCCACAATTGGCGACCGCAGTTCTTATTATTTTGAGCACTTATAAGAAAGATGTTGCTATCTATCTCATGCTTTAGTTTCCCTCTGTCGCTGCTTAAGACACCCGCGTAGGAGAGCCGTTTTAGGGCGGTAGTGGATTTTTTTACATCGCTACTACACTAATATTTTAAACTATAATATTTTAAGATATATTCCAGAAGTTAACAAAAATGTTTTATAAAAATTTATAAGTTATTGCTTTAAATTCCGCAGCTAAATAAATAAAATTTTATTTTAGGAAAATCAAGATGATTAATGCTTGGCATATTGTGAAAGCATCTAATTTGCTACGTACCTATAAAACACCGGTAAGGAGTACACGATTTTCTGAAACTGACTTAGCTGTGCAACTATCACATGACATGACATGACATTTTTCTAATTATGAAAACCTTAGCACTCCAAATGCGTGTGCTTCAAATGAGCTTTACGGCATTAGATTTAAATAAAACTATATGGAAATAGTCAGACCTGCCGCATTTGGGATGCAGCACGTGTAAACGCAAGCGGTGTCAAGACTTCAGTACTTCTTCTCCTTATAAATCCATAAAAGACCACAGCTGGGCATAGAGCTCTCCTGATGTAAGAAGAGTTGCTTTAGTAAACACGCGTGGCAGGCAGATTGAAGACATGTACCAGACGTCTCGCAACTATCTACATATTTCACAAGTGGCATGAGCGAGATGATTATATCACTATCTATCAAAAACCACATGTTTTGGCCCTTGATAGACAAAGGGCAAATGTACCATACAGCTTATATCGATTTTATAGTTTGTATAATCGATTGTTTTGTTAATCTTATTTTTCCCTGTAGATGACACTACTTTTTAAAATAATAGAGCGATAAGTTTAAAACACGTAAATAATATATTTTAAAAGTCAGAATCAATCAATTTATAACGCTCATGACTTGCACTTTCGGATTTTCCAAAATATTTTGTCTATCTTTTTAATCTAAAAGAAATAAACTATTTATCATTATCATATTATATATTAATTTAAACTAACTTTAGTCGGTTTGTTTAAATATTATTACAAAAAATACTTACTGACGAAAGTCAACATATTGAAAATAATTTATTGTGTCTCACATACTTTTTCTATTCTGTTTATTCGTTTCTTTTTCATTTAAGTTGGGTTGGGTTTGTCCTTGTGCAATTTTGTTGTACTGCCCCTATGATACAAGAGAAATCTTAGTGTAGGGGTACTTTTTTATTAAAGAAAAAAAAAATTTTATTTATAAAGTTGCTACTTTTACTACCTATATTTTTTATTATAAATATGTATGTTATAATGTTTGTATCGTATAATATTTGTGTACATATTATTTACATACTTAATACCAATGTAATAATGAATATTGTTAAGTTTAGTGTTTGTTAAATTTTTATTGGCGCCCACGGAAGATCAGCGTCGAAGTACTTTGTAGTACTAAGACTATGCTGAGTTGGGTACATTTTATAGTAATCTCAAATCATCAAAATGATATTAGGTATGTTGTTTTTATTTTTTCTCAGCAAATTGCTAAAATGTAATGAATAAACTTATTTTCTTTCTTTGTAATTTGGACATTAATTGCAGATTATTTGTCATCTTATAAGCAGAGTGAGTTCTTCGAAGGCGGAGTCTTTTCTCTCTGGTTCCAATGCCAATTTTTTGGAAGCCCAATATGTAGACTGGGCGAAGAAGCAACCCTTGGATTCTGTAAGTTCTAAGCAATATAGCAGAAGAACCAGAGTAACGGAAATGGGCCGGTCATATAACTCGAAGAACTGATAACCGGTGGGGAAGCAAGGTTGTCGAGTGGCAGCCTGGTACCTGTAGACGAAGAGTGGGGCGGCCCCCACTAGTTGGAGTAACGACCTGGTAAAACATGCAGGAGTTCGATGAATGCAGGGGACCCAGGACCGTGATTTGTGGCAATCTTTGGTGGTAGCCTATGTTTAGCAGTGGACATGTGAAAGCTATAATGATGAATATATATATATATATATATATATATATTAGCTTGTCTCTCCGTGTGCGTTCGTGCGTGTGTGTGTATGTGTGTGGCGTGTGTGTGTGTGTGTGTTTGTGTGTGTGTCGAAAAACGTACTTATGTTTACGAGTACACTTTTTCTTGTCCCACTTTCAAATAAAATTAAGTTATACGATAAATTATGTACTCGTACTTTACCTGTCCGTTTTATTTATATGTGGGTTCGAAATCTCGGTTGAGCAAAAATCAGTTATTGGGTGTTCTATCAAGAAATTCCTGGTAGTAGCCCATATCATAGCATATCGGAAAGCACGTCGAGCAAAGTCGTTGGTCCTGCACCTGATCTCTCTCCGGTCGTGTCAAATTTCTGTCCCATCTCAGTATGAGAGTGAGGGAATAGAGAGTGCACAATGCTTGCGCATACACCCGGGCAATATAATCCTGTCCTGTGGAGATACATAGCTATCTCCGTTGAGACTGGATGTGATCGAAATTAGGTCTGGAGAATAATGCTTTTGCTTGACAAAGGTAAATTAATGGTTCGTAGTACATAATAGCACAATATCTAAAAGCTTTTTTTATTCTTAATCAGGACGTAACAGTTCAGTGCTGGGTTCCACACATTGTAGAAAAGATTTTATGGTAAATCTTTTCCACAATGGGTGGGCTGATACAAACGCTGCGCTTGGCGAATTGTTGATTGCGGTGGATTTGCTGCAGACAATCTGCTTGCGCCTTTTACTCTAGGTTAGGTTTTTCACAACTGGCATATGCAAAATGTCATTCCGTTATCTATCGGAGGTTGAGAGGTCTTCTTGATATTTTCCATTTAATTGCTACCATCTGCTCGGAATTCCATAACTAATAATGTAAGCTGCTGTAAAGTACTCGAAACGTCGGGAATTAAAAAGTTAAAACTAAAATGCGATAAAATCCATAAAATTAGTTATATTCCATATTTTTAATCCCCGGCGTAAAAGAAGGTTGTTATAATTTTGATTGCTATGTGCGCTTTGCGTGCGGTTTATTTTATTGAAAAGCAAATTTTCTAGCGGTGGTTCTTAGACATGTATTATCAAAATTGGTTCAGATAGATATAAAATTCTTTATTGCACTCAAACAGAACAATTTGGTACAAAGGCGAACTTAATGCCGAAAAGGCATTCTCTGCCAGCTAACCTTTAGTACATCAACATCAGCTGTTTTTGTTTCGGGGGTTTTTCAAATTTCAAATTCAAGTTATATTTAACTTGTTTAAGTTTCACTCTGTCCCTTCTAACGTAACTCACGGGTTGATATGGGGTAGTGAATTCTCTTACATCGCCACGAGGACATAACTAACTATTACGATTTATAAGTGTTTACTATACCTACATATAATTGGCAATATATAATTATATACATATAATTACAACTAATACATGTATACTATACATAATATAATTGTCTCTTTAATTTCAGTCTTGGGATTGTTTCTATGAAAGCCTTAATGGCCCTACTCTGAAAATTGAGGAACTTGAAGACGAATTTTCTCCGAAAACACAGAGTAAGAGATTTTTTGTTACCCATGCCTACCTTTTTATCCTGGTCGCTTACGAGCAAGGAGGGAACTTCGTACACTGTGCAAACAATCATGTGCGCATTAGTTATTATAGTGTTATATGTGTTTTTCGCTATACCGACGTGATAGCAATATAATGCTGCCATATTATGAATAGTGAGTTACAAAAACCCCGACATCCTTTTAACTGGCATTCGATCTTAGTTCTCAGGGACAATAACGCGCATAGATCACAACAGCATTATGCTGCTATTTTACGCTGTCATTCTGTGATAGTGTGATCCCTGGTTAAAATATGAAGTCGTGCTGCAGCTATAAATACAGCTGCATCCACAGCGAAATAAATCTATTGGGACTCTGCCACGTAGTAGTCCCTTGTGACTCAGTGGTCAATTAATCTGATCATTACATATATAGATATTTCTATAACAAAAACTTTCCATTTTTACTTATGTGTCCACTCCAGTAGTCTGGTTCGAAAGGTATGAAAACTAAACTGACCAATGCCTATGAGGCATTTCGTCTGAATACTTTAGGATGATATGGCCCATAACTCTTAACTTCAATACTTGTAATTTATTCTTAACTAGCCATCCGAACAAGCTTCACTCGGGTGATTTCTGGATATCGGCAACAACGCCACCTATAGGATATAAATGTAAATCTAAACCATCTAGGGACCACACACAAAAAAAAACATCACAATCGGTCGAACCGTTTTTAGTGTTCCGTAGTCAACCAGGAACTCTTATAGTTTCGCCATGTCTGTCTGTCCGTCTGTCCGTCCTCGCTTAATCCACAGGGACCGTTAGCACTAGAAAGCTGAAATTTGGTACCAATATGTGTATCAATCACGCCGACAAAGTGGTAAAATAAAAATTGGAAAAAAATGTCTTATTAGGGTAGCCCCCCTATATGTAAAGTGGGAAGTGATTTTTTTTTTTAATTTCAACCCTAACGTGTGATATATTGTTGGAAAGGTATTTAAAAATGAATAGGGGTTTACTAAGATCATTTTTTGATAATGCCAATAATTTCGGAAATAATCGCTCTAAAATTAAAAAAACAATGTGTCCCCCCCCCCCTCTAACTTTTGAACCATAAGTTTAGAAAATATAATCTCAAAAGTAGAACTTTATGAGGACTTTCTAGGAAAATCATTTTGAACTTGGATGGAAAGTCGGAGCGCCTGCCGCGGAGTGTGCAATGTTGCACGCTCCATGTTCGCGCACGTACCCACTACCGGGAGCAGTTGCAGGAGCGCGAAGCGCTGCTGGAGCGCGAACATAATGGATACCCACCTTTAAACTCATAAGTGGGAATAGTTATTGTGGCGGACGGGAAACTACGGAACCCTACACTGAGCGTGGCCCGACACGCTCTTGGCCGGTTTTTGTGTTTTAGCGACACTAATGGATAGCAATTGATTTTTATGTATAGAAAATAATGTAACAAATTGAAAGTAAATAATAATTTTAATATTGATTTCGATAAAACTCTTTTATACTGTTCAACTAGCTTGCCAGGCAGACGTTGTTCTAACCTTTTCAACGACACTTTGTCGTGGCTCATTAAAAATCCTTATTTTCGCAAAAAAAATTGTGGATCACTCATGGGCAAAAAACTATTCTATCTCTCAAGTTGGGCCGAACGGCACACGGTGTGCAAATTTGATTAAAATCGGTTTAGTAGTTTAGGAGTCCATCGCGGACAAACAACGTGACACGTAATTTATATATAATAAGATAGTCTTTTTTATGATGGTAACCTTTCTTTAAGTAATATTTGGTACAAGTATAGTAAAATTTGGTAATATTTGGTAGCAGAAGGTAAAGTTTTTTATAATAGGTACTTTTATAAATACCTTTGTACATTTTTTTATTAAAAAAAATAGCTCAGTTTTAGGCTTTGTTTGAAGTTGGCTACTGTAGGTGCTTATGTTGAACTTGTTTGTCTCAGTAATGTTAAAATAAAACGCCTGTTTCAGAGCCGAAGGATAATAAAAATGAGTGCAGCAGCGAGCAGATCAAGTTACATTTGGCTGTTCAGAATCTGATAAGAAGTTATCAGGTGATGTTAAATATTCATGATATTTGGTATCACTTTGCACGCAACATAAAAAATCTTTACGAATGAAAAAGTTCATTCGATAGAATTTTTTCATATAATCTGTTATGTAGTTTATTCAAAAATCTATCTAACATAGTTACAGCAGCCTTCCGTTCCACTGTTGAGCATAGGCTACCTATCTTTTCTAAGAGTGTTATTGGCAATTAGTCAGCCCCGCTGTTTTAGTGACTTATTGTGAAGATAATACTTCACAATGGGAATCCGTTAGGATAACGGATACACTGCACACCCCTCCACACCGCGTCCACACCGTACACCCGCGTGTCTGGGCAGTTTTCACCTGCCAGAACATCGAACGATACGAGTTAGCCGTTAGAGCGGGGGCCCGCTGCCACCTGTTCGGACTGCCGTTAGATAACTCATCTACGTGCACTGTACACTGTCGTAGAGTAACATCGTTATGTAAGTAACCTTGGGAATAAAGCCCTGAGACTATTAAAGCTGTAAAAGCCAAAGCGGCTAATAGCACTTCCATCATCATAAAGCAGAGACAATGAGAACGGGACTTATCATTTTCACGAAATATTTTTATTACTCAAACATGGAGTTTTAAAAAGAAATAGGAGAAAGAGATAAAAAATAATACTTATTTAAAGTCGTTCTTATGTTTCATTTACCACTGTTTCGGTGAACACCTCTGGTAAGAACCATCAAGAAAATCAGCGGTTTTTTTATATAGAATAATGTTAACGAACTATCATTAAATTTGTTTTATTCAGTGTTTTTTTTTTCGAAGCACAAAGTTTATCGATATAAGTGACCGATATATGTATAAGAGAATCTGAGTGGTTGATATAGCCCATAGACATCTACGTCTATCTTTGATTAAGAATCAAAATGCAAATACGTTGTCACACCTTCATACTATGATGGAGTGCCTCTTTTCCAGTAAAAGGGTCTCCGGTGCTCTACACTCACCATACGAAACATAGTAGCATTAAACTGCTATTTTACGCTGGTATTTTATGAGCGTGCTGCAGCTAAATTACCACATAAAACTTTTTTCAGATCTTAATAGAAGTAATGAAAAGTAGTTAAAATATTTATTATTATTATTATTAAGGCTCGTGGGCACTTGCTGGCGAAGACTGATCCTCTGAACATGACCATTGCTGTACATTGGATGATGAAAGCACAGAACCTACCTCTGGACACGAGAGGCATGGAATGTAAATTCGTCACTAGGGAGCTGGGAACCATTCTCTGTGAGTTTTATCTTTTAAATAAAATAAAATAAAATTTTATTTAATTACATTTAATGTTTCTTTGTTTGTCTAGTATGTGTTACTATAATATTCATCAAAGATGAGTGTGCAACCACGAAGGTTTCTGACAAAATTAATGTAACATAAATATTATTTTCTTTGTTCGTTTGTGTTTTATGCCTTCTTGTACCATTCATATGATTACGACCATTTTGCATGCCGGAGACATCTTTGAAGATTTTAAATATTCTTTGGTTGTTGAAGCTAACATAACAAAACAAACATAACAAGGTACAGATAAGTAAACTCTAGGTGGTACGAATTCTCTACGTGTTAGAATTTATTTTCAGTCTAGAAATTCATCTGAATAATTACGACCTTCTTACCTAATGATTTCTTATATTTACGTGAACACTGCACACTTCTACGGATTTTCTTTAAACTTATATTTAATTCTTGACGTTTCGGGTGCTATGTTCCACTAACTTACCTACTTTTACCACCAAATAGCAGTACTTGGACTACTGTGTTCCGGTCTGAAGAGTACAGAGAGCCGGGAATACCTCACGGCCTGAAATTAATTTGGCGCTCCATCTTATTCCTTAGAGGTGACAGTCATGCTTCTGTAGCCTTTCTTGTTTAAATTTTGCTGTAGAGAGGTGTCCGTGGACTGTAGTTGCCACTAACCATCAGGTGGTCTGTTAGTTCATTTTCAGTTTTATAAAAAAAGTTCCAAGTGACAAGAACATTGAATAAAACTATTATTTACGGATTTTATCGCGTTTAATTACTACTTTAATTTATTTTTATTAACACGAACACTTCGGGTGCTTTACAGCACCCATGATCACGGCGGGGGGGGAGGGGACTGAGATCAATATAAAAAAGTACTGTGACTGAGATGTTTGACGTCCCAATGTCATAGTTAGTCCGGCTACCTTCAGTTTTTGAATATTAATTTTTGGTCCGATTTACGCAAAACGAGCTTAAATTATCATGAAATCTTGCAGTGGTGTGCTTGGGTTCGGGTTTAATTTTCTTAATTATAGGATCCCAAGCAGATAGCAGCACCCATCCATCTTCTCTATTGTAATTTGGATGTTTTTTAATTTCAATAGCCTCGCGTATCATCCTTGGTAGGAATCGGTGTTCTGTTGCGAGGATTTGTGAATTTGCGATTTGTGGGGACGATCTTGAACATGTTCGCAGACTGCAGACTTCTCGAAACGTCGGTGCTTCACGTCAGCTATATGTTCCTTCACGCGGGATTTTATAAATCTCTTTGTTTGACCTATGTAAGAGAGACCACATTCACAATCTAGCTTGTACACACCTGCATCTTGTAGAGAAATATTACATTTGCGTACCAGAACCACAAGAGAGCGTCGAATCAGGCGCAGCACACCCGCAGATCCATCACAAGATGCAATACCGCAAGTAGCAGTAAGCATCAATGCAACTATCATACGGATGGCGCCCCCTCACAACACACCCACATGATCCCTATCAAAGACTATATAACCACTTGACTGCGCATACAGTGCCCCGACGCTCGAAAACTATTAGTATTTTGTCGCCTATGCATCGGCTATGGTACTATTAACCATTTTAGTATTGTCCAAGTGTTAGACCTGTGTGCACGCTAAATTAATGCAAATTTTTATAACTTTTATGCAATTATAATGCATCAAAATGCGCGGTGAAGTGGTGTGGAAACATTCCAGGACAGATGTCCCAAAAGAATGGAGTAACTTTTCATTGCTAAGTAAAAAATACGAAAATTATTGTTGATTAATTCAGATTATGAGCGACCGCAGGGGTCTATCTAAAACGGTAACCGGGTAAATAACGACATGGTTGAGTCGCGCGTTGATGTCTTTTGGAAAAGTCTCGTTCTATTATGAGACAATTCTAATGCTTCTATCCCATTCTTTCCCTTTGTAAATATGTTTATCATAAACATTAGTACTTACTGTACCTTTAATATTTTTAACCGTATTCAGAAAAATGAGAAGGTTCTCAGTTTGTCGGAATTTTTTCTTAGTTAAAGTTTATAGTTACCTAGTTAAATTAGTTAGATTGGTGTACCTGTATTGGTGTGTATCAGAACGGTTTACAATTTCAAAAGGACACTAAATACAAGTTATTGTACGGATCCACTACAGTAATAGATATTTTTTCGTCGTTGTAAAAATTTTAATAAGAGTTTTAATGAGAAGTACAAAAGTGCTGTCTTCGAAATATAATACCAATTATTTTATGAGTTTTAAAATCTCTGATTATTAATTCCCGTACATTTATTTTCATCAATTTGAAATAGAATCAACAAATCATTTAATTGAATTAGCAAGATGCATAATTTACAAATATGTAGACGCTTGTTTATATTTTTTTACAAAGAACAATCAGGACCCTTAAACTTTAATTCGAAGTAAACTTAACAAATTAATTCATTTTAAAAATCAATAATAATATAATAAATAAATATTTTCGTAGTAACTGATTGATTTTGATTAAATATTATTTCTATGATTTTAATTGAGTATTTCTCATAATGATAAAATCCATTTTATCGATAACGAATATTTTCCTTTATTAAGAAGAGCAACCCTAAAGATAGCCATAATAACGCAACTTGACCATTTGCGGGCACGCGTTCTTCCTCGTCCCCCGGCCCACAGTAGTGAGTCGTATGCTTAGAAGAAATCTGCCTATACGCTCTCTAGTGGTTATATTCTCTATGATCCCTATCGACTTTACCAACGTATCATAGAAGCACGCTACTAAGACGCCAGTGAACAAAATTCTACGTATCATAGCGCTAATGCACTAAGACATGAAGTTGAGTATGCCTGTTACACTTAAAAGTGCTACCAAGCACACTCATCCCAATCCGAAAGATAGACGACGCATCGCTATGCGCTACGACGCCGCCCACAAACGGTGTGGATGTGCGATGTCCACGGGAAAGCCGTATTGCTACAACAAACCCGCTTACCACCGGCACTAAGATGTTAATTGTATACCTCCATCGACCAGAACCACAAGAATGCGTTGAATCAGGCACAGCACACCCGCAGATCCATCACAAGACGCAATACTGCAAGTAGCAGTAAGCATCAATGCAACTATCATACGGGTGGCACCCCCTCACAACACACCCACATGAGGGATCATGTGGGTGTGTTGTGAGGGGGGTGCCACCCGTATGATAGACGACGCATCGCTATGCGCTACGACGTCGCCCACAAACGGTTTGGGTGTGAAATGTCCACGGGAAAGCCGTATTGCTACAACAAACCCGCTTACCACCGGCACTAAGATGATATGTCTAGGACACATCGATTAGCGAGTGCAAAAAGCAATTGCTCGTGAAGCAGCATACACGCCACCATAATATTCCTTTTCGAGTCCCTAATAAGGACTAGTCATTTTGCTACAGTACTAAGAGCAGTCGGTCACCCGACCACCCCATTTAATGCTTATGCATCAAGGAGACCTTCTATAATATTGCTTTTGTATCATAGACCTTACTTTCATAAGTCATTAATATATAGGATTTCAACCCACGATTCTACTATTGTAATGCAAATTAATCATAGAGACCTTCTATAGTAATGCTTTTGTATCATAGACCTTACTTTCATAAGTCATTCATATATAGGACTCGAACCCACGACCCTACTATTGTAATGCAAATTCATCATAGAGACATTCTATAGTATTGCTTTTGTATCATAGACCTTACTTTCATAAGTCATTAATATATAGGACTTCAACCCAGGACCCCACTATTGTAATGCAAATTCACCATGGAGACCTTCTATATTATTAGTATTACTTTTATATCATTGAGTTTATTATCATAAGCCCCTAATACAGGACTAGTCATTGTGCTACAGTACTTTAAGCAGTCGGGCTCCCGAACATCCCATATATATGTACAACTGCAGGTATGTATCTCCGACAGCTCCTCCATACAAGACATCTATACATGAACACCTTCCATAACTTAGACAATTTTTAACAAATTTTCTAATTGTCTTATAAACGTTATTTATCTTTATTTTTATAATATTTTCGACTTGTATTTCTATTGTTTATCATGTTTTAAATAAATTTTACAAGTTTTCATAATAAATTTATTTATTATGAAAGAAAAAATTTACTATGTTATTGGTCTAATGTCTGAAATGTATTTATATTAACTTTATGCTTATTAATGTAAGTACCCGGTTGACCGAGCTTTGCTCGGTATTTTTCGCTCGGTTTTTTTTAATTCGTGTGGTTTGGAAATTATATTTAGATACAAATTACATACTGATGAAATACGAATAATATTTTTTGATATTAGCGACATAATAGAAAAAACTGAACTGGTTATTTGAATAAAAAATCATGAGTGCAATTAGTTTAATTTAAATTTTCGTGTTTTTAAAAAATACTAAAAAAAGGGCTCGAAAAAATAGATTTTCTCAAAAAAGAAAGGAACTTGAAAAAAAAAATTAACAAAAGTCGGTCGGTCGGTCTGGGCGCGAACCATGGTATTACGATTTTGTGACCGCCCAATATACCAATTAAGCTATTTGTAATCATTAATAAACTGTCAAAATTTACCTTCTTATTCTAACGATATTGTAGCAGTTTTTCATTGTCTAAAACACAGACAAAAAGACATTTTCTAAAAAATAAATCCTAGCTAGATCGATTTATTGCCCCCCGAAACTCCCTGCACACAAAATTTTATGAAAATCGTTGGATCCGTTTCCGTGATTCCGATTATATATATATACAAGAATTGCTCATTTAAAGGTATAGAATTTTATTGCTTAATATATATTTTAAGACTATTTTTGACGCCCTTTATATTGAATTTAATTATTAATAATAATATTGGGCCGTCACACTACGAAGGATAATACGCGAGGCTATTGAAATTAAAAAAAAACATCAAAATTTCTATAGATAAGATGGATGGGTGCTGCCATCTACTTGGGATCCTATAATTAACAAAATTAAACCCAAAGCCAAGCATACCACTAGACACAGACACAAGACTTCATGATACTACTATAAGCTCGTTTTGCGTAAATCGGACCAAAAATTAGTATTCAAAAACGGAAGGTAGCCGGACTAACTATGACATTCGGACGTCAAATATCTCAGTCACAGAGTACTTTTTTATATTGATTTCATTCCCCCCCCCTCCCGTGACCATGGGTGCTGTAAAGCACCCGAAGGTTCGGGTTAATAAAAATAAATTAAAGTAGTAATTAAACGCGATAAAATCCGTAAATAATAGTTTTAATCAATGTGTAGTGTTCGCGTAAATTTAAGAAATCATTATGACAAGAACATTTTAGTATAATAGGTGGGTGTTGTAATAAGATTGAACAGTTTTCTTTATTCGCCAGCCTCGTTTGCTCACGATTCACTCTCTTAGTAAGTGCTCCGTACTTATTATAACAAAATACAATATAGCCTTCGGCAAATTATGTTACCACAAAGTGTTTATAGTAATTTATATGCTTATGGTAATTTATATGATTGTAATTTTATAAACTTTTTAGGTGATAAACATATGGACATGGAATTTGAGCTGCCTGATCGAGCTTTTATCGGTGGAACTGAAACAAAGTTAACCCTTAGGTAAGCTTTTTGGTACTAATAACCAGTGCTTCACTACATTTCGTTTGATGGTAAATTATTATAATATGTAACTATATCAATCATATTGGCTTCCTATTAAAAATCTTTTGATCGTTCATTTAAGCACATCTAGGATTTTTTTAGAGCAAATCATGTAGGTAATGCTAGAAAACTTACGATAGTTATACGACTTTACCCTAGAAGTAATATATCTGACGTGCGGCAAGCAGCAGTGTCTATATTATATATATATATATATATATATATATATATATATATATATATATATATATATATATATGATACTCCGATCGGCAATTCGCATTTAAATGCTGGTGAAGACATATATATATAATAAGTTTTTTTTTTTAATTTTGAGAGTGTTCTACTTTAGTATACCGATAATTTTTAAAACGCTCCCGAAAACGAAGACAGACGATAGTATGAAAGATACCTTTGATGATGAGACAAAAAGAAAATCGATCCCGATGGGGAAAAAAACATTTTTTACAACGTAGGATGTGGATCTGTAAAAGCATTGTAATATAATATAATGTCCTCCAGACCATATTTTCATTACGGTGGTCTGTCTCAATGGAAATTAGCCATCAGCGTAGGACAGAATTACAGTGACCACGTGTATGTGCAAACTCTTTATTACCTCACTCTCATAGTCTTATGGGACGGTAAACCGACACAACCAAATAGAAATCAGGCGCAGGACCAACGACTTCACGTGCTTCCCACGGCACGGGGGGTGAGACTCCGCCAACTTCCTGACTCCGGGCAGCTACTGAGAATTTCTTGACGGAAAATTGATTCGAACCCGGGACCTCATGAACAGCAGTGCACTGCTAGAGTAGACCAACGAGGCAGTCAAATAATTTAATTAATGTACCGTAATGTATGGGCTATATAGTATGGTGTAAGAATATCCACTTAACATATACTACCCCGTATCGTCCGGAAGGTGTCATAAGAGGTGACAGAGGAGAAATGAAACAGGAGATGGGCAGAATAACATTTGAGTTGTTACACTCAAAATAATAAAAAACTGCAGTTGCCAAGCGTGCCAACTATGGCAAAATCCACCATGAGGCAATCTATGAGACTTAGGTTCAGCAGTGGACATTTATAGGATGTAATGGATTAATGGATGAAATCGGTTACACTACTCATGTATGTTACGTAAGATATACAGTTACTCAGGAGGATGGAACCAGCGTGGGTACTCAGAACATCATAGATATTTAGACAAAACGCTACGTATACATTTTAAGTGACGCCAAAACCATGTTCGACTTATTGATTATTCATATTTTTCTATGTCATAACTAGACACACACACATGCGCCTAAAACCATGTCATTGGTTTCAAATTGTTTAAGATGCATGCGTTAGTAAATATTATAGGAATAAGTTAAGTATGGTTTTGGTTTGGTTTTGGCGTCTCTTGAAGTGTACGGAGAGCTTCGTTTTGCGTGTGTACGAGCGAGCTTTTATTGGTCTGAAAATCGGGTAATGCCTATATAATATGAAACCTCAAATATTATATAATTTTTAAGAAAACAAAATATATGGTAATATTTTTGATTATATACAACATGTCTTATCAAAGGGTAATATTTACGATTAATTATCACAATAGCATATCAAATTGTCGATTCGTATGTGTAAACTAGTGGTGGTGGGGGTGACGAGACACATCCACACGAGGCAGTTCTAACTGTGTAATAACAACTTTCTTCTTTTTGTATGTTGTTAAGTAAAGCCACGCCGCAGCTATATTATGGTTGTAGCATAAATGGATTGGCTCGACCGGGGTAGGGCCACGCTCTCACAGAATACCAACATAAAATAGCAGCTTAATGCTGCTGTGTTTCGTCAGGCCTCTGTCACTCTTGCTACCTGCGTGAAATAATTACCTAAAATCGCGACACGCCCGGGCGAAATAACGCAGTCAGGGCTAGCGCTTTCGAGGCGATTGAATGTTAAAAGTTTTTTTTAACGCTGTTTACGTATATATCTGTGTTTAGTATATTTAATTATAGGATAAAATAGTTTAAAAGTTTTAATGTATTTTAAAAATGATATGTATATTACCTACTTATTTGATAAATTATAATAGCAAAACGTCGTTCTTACTTATACTATATAACTGTTGTGTGGATGGATACTAAATGAAATGACCAACTAAAGATTTCATATCATTCTTTAAGTTACCGAAGAACTTTAGAAGGAAGTTATGAAAGGTGAATTTATTTAATTTTTTTTGTTAGGTAGGTACTTGCAGCAAAAAAGAATTAAGTAATAATTTGGTCTACAAAAGAAATACCTAAATACTTTATTACACAAGTTAGTTAAAATTTACTTCACTATCCAAGTATTTACTTACATACATATTCTTGTCTTTTGTAATTAAAATATTTTAAGTTATAATAACACGAAATACTGAAATTAAAACTTTGTTTACTAACAAGATTTTTAACTAAGTAGAATAATAGATCACATTTCTGTTAGGAATCGCATTTCAGGTTTATTTGTTGTTTAAACTATCTACCTATTTCTTCAGAACCAAGCGTTGCGATTCCCGACGAATGACCTTGCAATTTGCATGCGTTAGGCATCGCACAACTCACATAGGGGCGAAAGTATGGTCAGTCGATCAAAGTCGGAATAGGTACTTCACCTAAGTAACATAATTAACATTTCTCAATGTATTTTTTTACTTTCTATTGACATCCCTTAATAACCACGAAAAGTCCGCCGTGACCTAGGAAGCGAAAAAAGATGCAAAGTAATATGGACACTAACGCGCAGCGATAAAGTTTTATTTAGCTTGCGTGCGCGATTTATCTGATTAATAATAATTATGTAGGTTATTTAACGTCGGCAAGCAGTCGACATCAAAGGAGTGCAACTTCTGTACGTAGTACTATTATTTATTCTGTGGTTTCGTATGGTGAGTGTAGAAAACCGGAGAGCCATTTTACATAAAACGAGGCATTCCATTTGAGTCCTCAGGGATAACAATGCATCTACATTTTGATTCTTAATCGATAATAAATGGAACGCGGTATCCACTTAGCATCAGGTGGACTGAGTGTTCGTTTGTCATCCTATTCTATAAAAAATAGTCTTTCCATGGAAAAATGCCTACGCATACTTGCCTTGGTTTTAAACACTTTCGTCACTTATTAGCAGGGTTACTGAAAAGTTTTCGCACACATCCGCGGACCCACCAGTGCCGTATTGTCAGTCCCTTCTCGCAAAAATACAATTCCTCCCTCTATTCTCCAACTCAGGCAAGGCGCGCCGTATCACAAAACAGGCCTTGCTTCACAGCTCGCCAAGCTGTCCCGGAGCAGTTACCTCCAGCCAGCACTGTAGCTCAGGTCAGCCATGTGCATTCCTCTTCGTTCACCTTCGACCTAGCTAGTAGGCGTAGCACAACTACCACTACAAAGCGTGGCGACTGTTACCTATTCTATTTAATTTTAACACACAATAGCTTACTTCATCCACTGGTAGGCTAGGATGAGGGAGTGAGTGTCTCTGGATTTGCGCGTACTTGATGCACTATTATTTGAGATTTGTATTCGGTTGCTGATAAGTAAGTTTAAAAGGCCGTGGTAGCTAAGAGCCATGGTAGCTCAGATGGTTAGCGCTCGCTGTAAATTTCACAGTATGCGAGCAACCCGGGTTCGATGGTTGTCGGTACCAATGAAATTATCAATTGCAATTTTAAGTGCTGATTTACCACGTCCTCGGCGGTGAAGGAAAACATCGTGAGGGAACCTAAATGTTTGAGAAATAAGAAAAAATATTTCGAAGACATGTGAAGTTCGCCAACACGCATTGGGGCAGCGCAGCGGACATTTCTTTGCCCTAAAACCCTCTCAAAATTAATATAATAAATTTTTGTTTTTATTTTACACAGGGAAATCATAAGCCGATTAGAGAAAGTGTACTGTGGCTCCATTGGGTTAGAGTACATGCACTTGCACGATCTAGACTGCCTCCAATTTATCCGAGAGCGAATGGAGACGCCGGGCGCCATGGATAAGACACAGGAAGAGAAAAAACTCATCATGCGTAGGCTGACGAAAGCCGTCTAGTAAGTAGAAAAATATATCAATTTTATTTTCGCTTTAATATCTTAAATCTCCTCTAACATTTCTTCCTAGTATTATTTTACCCGAAAAGTAAGTTTTTTCTTCACAACTTTAGTGCCGTGTGGTGGCTACATAAGTGAATGCGCCACCTCATTCGGTGCTATGGGTGTTATCAAAGGCAGCTGTGGGAAATGTGAGGGATAATAAAATATTAATAGTTAATTTGCAACCATCCGCTTAATGAAATACATTACACACATAGTCTTAGCTAAGTCTTAGCGGTCAGCCGCCGTAGAGTCTACATCACCTGAAGATGCCTCGTGTAGAGGTGAAACACGTGTCGTATTATCGACGATGGTGTGTCTTTCCCGGAATAGTGGTGTTAGAGTAGTGGTGCTGGGAGTAGTGGTGTTGGGAGTAGTGGTGCTGGGATTAGTGGTGACGGACTTAGTGCACGCAATTGAGGGGGAGCGGGAGGTGATATTAAATCTAGGTAAGACACATCATTGTATTTAATTAAGCGGATGGTTGCAAATTAACAATTAATATTTGCAAATTAACAATTAATTTGACTGGCCTGTTGGTCTAGTGGTTAGTGACCCTGACTGCTATGCCGGAGGTCGTGGGTTCGATTCCCACCAAGACAAATGTTTGTGTGATGAGCACGATCATTTGTTCTGTGTCTGGGTGTAATTTATCTATAGTATTTATGTATTTAGAAATATATAAGTATGTTTATCAGTTGTCTCTAGTACCCATAACACAAGCTCTGCTTAGCTTGGTGACTAGATGGCGTTAGTGCGCCGATAGTTGTGGAATATATTATTCAAAAAAAATATCTTTATTATAATGGATTTCCGCAAAGTAACGCCTGATTCTATCAATTATAATTTGAGAAATATCTTATGGCGTCTGACAGATAGTGATATCTAGTATACGCTAGATGTAATTTTTTTTACGTGGTTGAATGGTTTTCGAATAATTTTGGAGAAAAAATTGTTGAATGGTTTTCAAATAATTTTGGAGAAAAAATTCCAACCCAAAAAGGTGGGAAAATTAGGAGATGATATATATATATATTTTTTTTTTATGTATTAAGAAGCCAAAATTTTCAAAAAAAGTAAGTCTTTATTAGTCTTATGTAGTAGGGCCTTTATTACTCTATACACTGTTCCTTAGCGCCGACTTCCATCGCTAATAAGTGAAAAAAAAATTCTTTTTAGCTCTGAAGTTGACTGTTACCTTTTACTAAAAGACTTTTTTTGGAAATTTTTGGTATTTTTAAACTAAAGTTCTTTTACATAAAAAGTAAGCCTATGTGACTATTTGATTTCTGCCTGAATGAAGATGTCATGTAATGGTTTTTAAGTATTTTATACAATAGCACTGCACTGCCTGCACCGAAATGATGCACGAAATGATAAGTTAGACATAGTTCTCGTGGTCCTATTTTAGCGGTTAAAAACCGTATCTTTTCTTGTGTGTTGTTGCTTCCATTTTGTTTTATTTTTATGCCCTGACTTAAAATTGCCCAGAGGTGGACTGTTTGTGGGCTGATAACGCGGACCCAAAAATAAGCCTACATAATTTCACAGCCTTGAGAAATATTTTGCGACCAAGTGGCCCGCGGAGAAGCGGTTCGGTCTGGAGGGTGGCGAGAGCATGATCGTGATGCTGGAGGAGATCGTGGACACTAGCACCGAGCTCGGCGTCGAGTCCATTGTCATGGCCATGCCACACAGAGGTTGTATATTGCTGTTAATTTTTATGAAATATTATTAATATCCACCAATTATTGCAAATCATCACAAGACCACTACTGAACATAAGCACACACTAAGACTGCCACAAAGCACAGTGCATCAACTCCACGCACTTTTCATCATAAATTCACTCTTTTTTGTGAGTGCGTGTTGCCAGTAATGACTTATGGATCTGATCAGGACCGGATTAACCATTAGCCAGAGCGCGCTTACTTTTTGTGAATTTTGCGACCGTGAATGAATTTAATTTAAAAAGTTTTACTCTCCTCTGTGTTTCAGAACTTATGAATTTGGATAAAAGAGTGATATTTTTGTACTTAAACTAAAAAAAAACATTAATTGGGAATGCACCCGATTGAGTCCAATTGTGAATGTGAATAAAACCTCTTTCATTCACATTGGGGGAATCCCTGATTCGTTGGATGCATTATGTAGCGATTTGTGAGTGACAGTGAATTTAGTTTAAAAATTTTACTGTGCTCGGTGTTCCAAAACTTACAAATTGGGATAAAAGTGCCTAGATTTTCTTAAAATTCTTCATAAAATCGGCGAGACGACGAGCCGAGTGATGGACACTAAAACTGAAGTAACCACTATTACCAAGTAAGTTTGGTAATTGATAAGTTAAAAAGGTAAAGTTACAACCTATATACGTCTCACTGGTCGGCACAGGCCTCCTTTCATTTTTGAGAGGCTTTGAGAGAAGTGTGCGCCGCGCTACACCAATGCGTGTTGGCGAACTTCGCATGTATTTGAAATATTTTTTTATTTTTCAGACATTCAGATTTCCTTACGATGTTTTCTTTAATCGCCAAGCACGTGGTAATCAATAAAAAATCTGCACTTAAAATTGCAATTAACAATTTCATTGGTGCCGGCAGGCATCGAACCCGGGTTGCTTGCGTATTGTAAGATTTACAGCGAGCGCTATAACCATCTGAACTACAACGGCTCCCTAACTAGATGATTGATAACTGATTGCGAGATTTTATTTTACATATTTACGAGTATTTTTTCATCTGATATTATAAATTTGACGAATGTGAAGTGCCAAAGCTTTTCTTGTTTAGATAGGTATTATGGATATTATTACAATTTTTCTAGCGTCGTTTTTCATTCACACGATTGTTTAACTTTTCTCTTAGGAACATAATATACTTGTTAAATATAATGAACACCTAAGTGGTTAAGAAGAAAACGTAAAAAACGGCTGGAACAACAAAAAATATATGATGAACTATTAAAAAAGACGCAAAACCATTTCCAACTCGGATTTAGTCGCCAACTAACGGAAAGCCAACCCAGTATGTCTGCTAGCTAAACTATGACGGCGGATCGTGTAGAGATTCCTTGCGAGTGTTCTGAACAGACTGACCAGGATCAAGAAACAGCTACGGCTATCGGGTACAGAGAAAAGTGAGGCCGAGGTCCAATTACTACTCCAAAACTTTGGAGTAGAATACCAGAATGATATTAGCTTATGGCAAAATATTAACAACGAAATACAATATTTTTGGTGTACTAGAGATCCTAACGAATGTCAACATTTTGAGTCTGACTTTTCTGCTTCAATCCGACAATATGACGCTCGTAAAAGATTTGTGGTGGTAAAATTAAACGAAAGTGGTTCATGTATTCTCCATCTACTGGAAAAATATACTGCTTTCTATATGTTCTTTTTGCCGAAGATCAAATCCAATTACAATTTCATACTGGATTTTCTGATTGAAAAAATGTGTCGCAAAGAATTCAATCCCATTAGAATAATGTAACTCACCAAAAATGTGTACAGACGGCGATTAGTAGACGACGTACTCACGGCCGAATTGACACCTCTTTGGCAGTGACATTTAACAAAGAAAAGGAATATTAGATAAAAGTTTTATTGGTATTATTGATTAAATTTTTATCATCCCGTGAATTATCCCTTGATGATGAAATGGTTTATTCTCAACATATTGGCAATTAGGAAATTATGCAGTAACTTCTCAAAACAGGTCTAGTGCTGAAAAAAGTGTCCAACACAAGGTGGTGTACACGAGCCGATGCGACTAAGGCTTTGTCGGAAAGTTACAAAAGTTTGCAGAAAGTTTTGCAGTCTATTGCTGAAAATTAACCTCCGACATCGCAAGATATTCACGAAGCTCGATGTCCTTTAAAGAATTCGGGAAAAAAGCACATGCAGTAATGGCAATATTTTTGGCTATTATTTGGGCATACTGGATCGAATCAATTTTTTAAACGTTACTTCCACACTAGGATTTTCTCCTGTATCTTGGGGATAGTTTACAAACATAAATGTCAAAAGGACAAAAATCCAGATCCGGAACAATTACTTGTAGGCCATACAAATACTTGTTCCATGCGATATTCAAACCCGCGGCCATTAGCACTGTAACTGTTGAACTTCGAACTGTAGTCGATCTCTTAAAATCGCTTTTAGATTTTTGCTATCATATCAAGAATTATTTGACGACTACAAGGCAAATGAGACAGCTGATACCGAATATGGTGATGAATATCAGCGGCTGCAAGAAGAAGGCATCACGGTGACGGATCTGTAGATTAAGTTGTGATCAGAGAAAAAGATAAGTCAAATATTGAAACATATTTGCCTGTACTAAACATTCTGTATGCAGAATTGTCGCGGCGACTGGAAGCTTACCGGGAAATTAAATCTGTTTGGATTTCTAACAGATTTCATGAAAAAGACCAACGATGAAAATAAAAGATCTTGACAAAGTTTAGTGAACATTATTTCGAAGACATTGAGCTCGAGTTTGTAAACGAGATGGTACAGTTCAAGTACTTCATCTTACAATAAGAAGATTCGGGGATTGCGGGGAAAAGTAAAATTGTACCTGCCGAGGAATCGCTTAAATTAATTTTTGATAATATATTACAATCAACTTTTCCGAATGTAATGATAGCATTGCAAATATACAGAAGTCTGATGATATCATACGCAATGGGTGAACGTCTAATAATAAACTGTCTTTGTTCGTCAATGTCTCAGAACCGTTTAAATTCATTGTCGATAATGGCGATTGAAAATGATTTTTTTTTTCGATTGAAAATGGTATATACAAAAGGTCAACTTCCAAGATGATATGAACAATTTTTAAGTGCGTTAATATTTAAACTTAATGTACTTGATTAAACTATTTTCTTTCGTTTATTGTTTTTACTACATTTAACAAGAATGAAATAAAAATTAAAACACTCTCGTCAAAACCTTTTTTCTTTCGTTTATTATATTTTATTGCATTTAACAAGAATAACATTAAAATTACAACTTCTGCGTCTTATTTTTCTTTTCTGATCCATCACGAGACCGTGAGATGGTCTTATCTCATACAGTATACCTAATAAGACCTGGGTCATCGCTTATTCATTAAGACCATTTCAATGAACCGAAATACAGCTAAAAATAAATTCAGCATCAGTCCGGTAATGCTGCTGATGCTATTACTAACATCCCTTCATAAACTTAAAAGAGATGATCTTTAAACGGCTGAAAAGGGGCCCGAAATGGTTGCTCCGGCCCTGGATCTAAAACGTGGTCCTTCACTGCTGGCCGTATAAGGAAGCTCAAAGTTGCTCAGCGAGCTATGGAGATGGCTATGCTAGGGTGTCTCTGCGTAATAAACCTAGAAATGGGGATATCCGCAGTAAAACCAGAGTAACCAACAAAACTCAACGGACCTGAGGTGGTAATGGGTCGGCCATATAGCTTGAAGAACCGACAACCGACGGGGTAGCAAGGTTTTTGAGTGGCAGACTCGCACCGATAGGCGAAGTGTTTGGCGGCCCTCTACTAGATGGAATGACGACCTAGATGAATACAGGTGGCATGAGACCGTGCTTTGTGGCTTTCTTTGGGGGAGACCTATGTTCAGTAGTAGACATGTGAAGCATCGTAATGATGAAAATGATGATGAAGAATCAAAAAGCAGACGCGTTATCACCTGTGAAGACTAAGATAGAAAACCGCGTTACCAGTTAAAAGGGCCTCCGATTATCTACATTCACTATAAGCAACATGGCAGCTATGTGCTGTTATTTTACGATGGTATTCTTTAAGCGCACGGTCCTTCTCCGATTTAGGTGACCTATTCATGTTACAGCTATAATTCATCGGATTTTTTATTATTTGAACCAGATCCAGAACCAGTCATCGCCTACTATACATTCTTTATATATTTTTGTTCTTGTTTAAATAAATATTAGTGTACATTAAAGAGTATATTGACTGAATGATTAATTGAAAATATGTAAAAACCAATTGCCGTTAAGTCCCTGTGAACCTCTTTTTCAAACATACATTTTGTTTTGTTAAGGTCGTCTGAACGTGTTGGTCAACGTGTGCCGCAAGCAGCTCACTGATATTTTTGCTCAATTCAAACCCATGGAGCCCAAAGAGCCGGTAGGTATATACATAATACTACTATAACACACAATAAAATTAATACACACATGATTACACAATAGAACCTTATTCTGTACGAGAATCGGTGTCGCGGGGAGCACACATATAAGCAATTACGTCGTATTATCACTACTACAAAACCGATTCGCTGTGTTGACAGACTGAGCGAATTTACACATTTTAGAGTTTTGATTAATGTTTTTGACACATTAATATTTCTTTATTTTTTTTTTCTAATACTCACAAAATATAAATAGTTTCGTCTTGCTGGTTGTAGGATATATCTCCTTTATTTAAATTCCATTTCCCGCTGTTCTTTCGAATTTTTGTAATTAATAATAATAATGTCCTCCAGACCGAATTTCGGTCACAGCGGCCAGCCTCAACGGAGACTAGCCATCGGCGCAGGACAGGATTATAGTGCCCAATTGTATGCGCAAGGACAGGTACACTCTCTATTCCCTTAATCTTATAATCCGATGGGACGGTAAACCGACACGACCGGAGAGAGATCAGGCACAGGACCAACGGCTTTACGTGCTTTCTGAGGCACGGGGGTGAGACACCGCCAACTACCTGACTCCGGGCAGCTACTGAGAATTTTTTGACAGAAAAACTCAATAATTGATTTTTTGGCCCGACCCGGGATTCGAACCCAGGACCTCATGATCAGTAGTCGCACTAATACAACCACTAGACCAACGAGGCAGTCGACACGTAATTATTGCACAATTTGCCATTTTTTAATAATTTGCATGCAGCGACGCTTGACACGAAAATTGTAAACGATTGATTGTGTTGACATTTATAGGCGTGAATTGACATGTTAGTGGGTACACAGGCTCCGCCCACTTCTCCTTTCTATTATGTACGTATAGTATAGTATAGTATTCAATGGGTATATGCGTCCCACATCTGTGCACGGGTCTCTCATTTCTGAGAGAATGAGGAATTTTGATAATCCCAACAAAATCATATCATGCAAACTGTCTACAGTTTTAATTTTTTTCTATTTTAAGCACTACGAAATTCCGTTGCTTTAACAGTTTTCGTATCGAAAAAAATTTAATGAACGAAAAGATATTTATTACTTATAACTGTAAATAACTGAAATAAAATAATTAACAATAAAATTATAAAAGCAAGAAAATAAAATATTAAAGTATTTAAAATAACGATCAAAAACTTTAACATGAAAATGTGCCCAGAATCAGAATCAGAATCAGAATATTTTTATTGCCAATAAACTGTGTACGCACAATTTGCGGGTGACATTGCCATTAAATGTTACACGGTTTACCCATATCGGGTATGCAATAATTAGAAAACAAAACTTAATTTAAATTATTTGGTATTAAAATATTCATCTAAATTATAAAAAACATTAGTATGCAATAATTATCTTAATTTAAATTATTTGGTATTAAAATATCATCTAAATTATATAAAATTATGTGTTAACCATTTTTTTAGTTGTTTTTTAAATGTTGGCAAGTCCATGGCTTTTATATGAGGTGGCAGATGATTAAATATTTTAATACCTGTGTAAAAGGTGCTCTTATAATACATATAATTATTTACTCTAGGTGTATATAAATTATACTTATATTTAGTGCGTATTGGACGTGAATTCCCGTTAGATTTAATCCGAAAATAGTTGACATGGTAAAGAGTGATATTTCTAAAATATAAATATTAGTGAGAGTGAAAATGCCTTTTTCTTCGAATACATTTCTTAGAGTTTCATCTGAGTACATATTATAAATGATCCGCAGACATCGCTTTTGCAGAATAAATGTTGACTGCACGTTTGTAGAATTACCCCAGAAAATAATACCGTAAACTAATATGCAGCCCTTGATATTTCAACGGAGGTTATTTCTGCTAATATGTATAATGCGTAACTGTAGCTAGAGATTTTTTTGTTTATTTTTTCAATATGAGATTTCCAATTTAAATGACAGTCTATGGTGACTCCAAGAAATTTAATGTTATTAACTATTTCTATTTGAGTGTCTTTATCTGCTATATTTAAATTTAAGGAATTTGTTTTGTAATTTCTGAATTGAATTATTTTAGTTTTTGTTAGATTAACGTTTAAATTAATTTGTTTAAGCCATTCAACTGTTATTTTTATAGTTTTATTTATATTATTTTCAAAATTCATTTGAGTATCAGGTATAAAGATTGTTGCATCATCAGCGAACATAACACATCTATTGTCAGTGATATTTGGCAAGTCATTCACATAAATTAAGAATAACAAAGGGCCCAAAATACTTCCTTGTGGCAAGCCTAGAGTCATTTTAACTGGCTCGGACCGTACTTCTTCAAAAGCTTTACTGACTTTGTCAAATTTTTCAATTGCTGTTATTTGCACTCTATCTTTTAAATAGCTTTTTTGTCAAGTTTATTTAATAGTATATCATATATGACACAGTCAAATGCCCTTGACATATCTAAAAACAAACCTACACAAGAAGTTTTATTATTTAATGATTCCCAAACTTCCTTGAGTATTTGATAGATCGCAAGTGTAGTGCATTTATTTTTCTGAAAGCCAAATTGATTTTTATTTATTATACTATATTTATTGAAAAACTCTATAAGTCTATTGTAGATGACTCTTTCAAATATTTTCGAGAAGTTAGATAAAAGAGCTATGGGCCTATAGTCTTTGACATTACATTTTGAACCTTTTTTGAACAAGGGTTTTATTTTTGCAGTTTTTAATTCATCTGGAAAGGTACCAGTTTCTATCATTAAGTTCAATAAATAAACAAGAGGCTCATTAATATACTCTATAGATTTTTTAATAATTTTGATCGATATGTCGTAGTGGCCGCAACTTATTTTATTTTTAAGGTTCATTATTGTTTTTTCCAATTCATTTCCATCAACGGGTGATAAATATAAGCTATTTATATGTGTAGGAGGTAGATAGTAGGTATCTGTAGCTTGTGTTTGAGTGTTGATGGTAGCAAAATGAGTGTTAAATACTTCAGCTATAGAACTTGCATCCGTGATATTATTATTATCAATAGTCACATTTTAATGGTTGTTTTGAATATGTTTTGTGAAGTGGTCTGCCTTTTTATTAAGTGCCATGTAGCTTTATTTTTGTTGTTACTATTTTTAATGAATTTTATGTTTGATTTTTGTTTTGCTAAACGTATAACGGATTTTAAAATTTTGCAGTATTTCTTATAATACGGTATAAATTCCTGTTTCTTATATTTAAATATTTTCTGATGTAACTTTCTTTTAGTTTTGCATGCTCTTTTAATGCTAACTGTCTGCCAATTTGATTTTTTCTTGAATGAGATTCTAACCTTTGCTACGGGTATACAAAGATCGTATATTAATTTGAATAAGCTAATGAAACTATTATACGCCTGATTGACATCACGATACGAGAAAACTTCAGAAAAACTTAATTGAGAGAGATATTTTAAAAAGATATTTAAATACTTATTTTCATTTCTTCTATGTACATACCAATATTTTTCAATATAACCTTGATAACTTACCATACGTTTATGTATTGTGCAGAGTGATCGGATAAGCCTAAGTGTAAAACTTTTGAGCTGTAATCTTTTATGTTTGTTTTGTCTATGCAAGTTTTCGATTTTGTTGTTATCCTAGTTGGGTGATTTATTGTTAGTTTTAAGTTATATTTTAATAAAGTATTTTTAAAAAGTGAACATTTAAGATTATTTTCAAGTAAATTGATATTAAAGTCACCAGCTATTATTACTTTTTTAGTCATATATCTTGAACGTACAGTAATTCTATGTAATAACATGTGCAATGTTTTTATAAATATTTCAAAACTTGAGTCTGGAGTTCTGTAACAGCAAACAATAATATAATTTAATTCTGGCAACAGTATACCACAACATTCAAGGTGTTTATCTAAGCTTAATTGATTTATACAGGGAAGTGAAATAAAATCTATACTATTTTTAATATAAATACAGACCCCTCCTCTAGACTCGTTTCTACAATATGAGTCAGCAACTTTATAGCCTGGAATTTGTAAAAATTTTACATCTTGGTTCTTTAAAAAAGTCTCAGTAATACACAAGACATCAATTTTTTCCATAGTTAATAGAACCTCTATCTGGCTGAGTTTAGATCTCATGCCCTGAATATTCTGGTGAAGTATATTAAGACCAGTTAGAACTGTTTCTGCTTGCATATTATTTAGTTTATTGTTAATATCCTGTGAAGGAACGAAAGGAGCGACAATATGTCAATCTTTCCTTCACGGGACTAACAGGACAAGAGGTACTTTTGAAAACAGTATATGTGTTTGACTGTTCTGTTGCAATATTTGACATTAATTTATTTAAGTCGTTCAAGATAATACGAAAATCATTTATATTTATTTTGCCTGAGTACTTTGAAAACGTATATGAATATTCTAAATATTTGTTAGAGTCCAGTATACAGCAGTATTTGTGTACTTTATTATCTGAGTATAATAAATTAATGAATTGTTCAATTCTCTTATTGAAGAGATTAGAATTATAGCAATATTTATATGTCGGTAAACAAATAATAATGTTTGTGTGTTGTACAGCCAGGATTAGTTGCTTTAAGATATATACAATATTTTTATAATTTTTGGAAACTTTAAAATCAATATCTCCTATCATAAATACGCAAAAATCGTTAAGAGTGAAGTTAGCTAGCTTCTCCTGCAACCCACGTGACAGTTGGTCTATGTCGCCACCTGGTGTGCGATAGTGACAGTATGCGGCGCTCTGCTCCATCATATTGTCTCTTATTATTGAGGATTGCTTGTGGTTACTTATACCGCTGATTATACATATGTTGGGCTTAGTGTTAAATGTGTGCTTCTCTGTATAATTTATAGGCTTCGAAGTATCGATTATGTTGTTTCTTGAGGTGAAGTCCTTTTTATTCTCATGTATGGGTATTGTAGCAATGTGTTTTTTTTAAACAAAATCCACAGCTCTTTGTTACATCGTACGTACATCTTATGATCTTAAATTATAGCCAAAAACGGATTTACATTATTTAAATAGTATTTTCAATTTATAACGGACATGTTGAAGACAAAGTAGTTAGGACTAAAAATACATATTTTTAAACATCTAGAATGCAATTTATTACAATCTTCTGCCAATGGAAATTCTTTTTTGCAAGAGGGATACCTCTTAACTTTTTCAGACTGATTACCGAGCGGGGTTGACATACATGAGTTAGTTAGAACTTTACTAGGATTTAATTCGTCTACATTTATAGTTTTGTATAATTCTACAATTTTCTCTTGCTCCTGATTTTTCTTATTTAGTTCTGTATTTATTGCGTTTAAGTTTTTAATTTCATTGTTAGCTATGTGGAGTTCTGTTCGTAATCTCATCAATTCCAATTTTAATACTTGCAAATTATCACTAGTAATTATTTGACTGATATCTGGAGGACTATTTGAGTTTCTTGACCAATACGATGTAGACAGGTTTTCTTGGGACGTCTGTTTTTGTTTTTTTCTTTGAGTCAGTATAATTATTCATCGTACATCACAGCCTATCGCAAATGGATAGTTGACCTACTAGTCTGAGTCAACTGCATCCTTAAACTCCCATGCATCAAATTGACGCTCCCATTTAATCATCTTGTTAAATTATCTAAAAGTTAATATTTTTTATTAATAAATATAAGGTGGCAAACGAACTTACTGATAGCATCCGCAGTCTACGGTCACCTGTAGTCAACTTCAAACAAAGAAAGCTGCAGATATGTTGTCAACTTCTGAGAACCAAGATGGAATTCCTCACAGCCTGTTATTACACTGGCCAGTGGCGAAGCCTCCATAGAAGCCGAAAAGTCGGGCTAGCCCTATCAAACTGCTCAATCAATAATGTCAACTAATAAATAACTCGTAAACTGTTTCAAACTATTAAAAAAAATTCTTTTCTACACAAATCATGACCTCGTAGCCTTAGCGATACTGCTGTCATAAAAAAGGATGAGTTGAGTTGAGCGATTAGTCATCTCACTTGCGGGCTTTTTACCGGGTTTTCAAGAAGACGATCGCTCTCATTCTAAACTAAGGCAAAATGTTCTATAGTGAAATATAACTACAAAATTACTATATAGCAATTAGTATGAGCAAAAAGCCGGGCTTTGGTATGAAGATGTCGAGTGCGGGGGCGCGCGGGCGATACGTTTGCAAGTTCACTTCACCTTTCAATGTTTACTCTGTTTCTTTACTTGAGTGAATGAATATTGCGAATTGAAAATGTACGCTTTTTAGGGTTCCGTAGTGAACTAGGAACCCTTATAGTTTCGCCATGTCTGTCTGTCCGTCTGTCCGTCCTCGCTTAATCTCTGTGACCGTTAGCACTAGAAAGCTGAAATTTGGTACCAATATGTGTATTAATCACGCCGACAAAGTGGTAAAATAAAAATTGGAAAAAAATGTTTTATTAGGGTAGCCCCCCTATATGTAAAGTGGGAAGTGATTTTTTTTTTAATTTCAACCCTAACGTGTGATATATTGTTGGAAAGGTATTTAAAAATGAATAGGGGTTTACTAAAATCATTTTTTGATAATGTCATTAATTTCGGAAATAATCGCTCCAAAAAACAATGTGTCCCCCCCCCTTTAACTTTTGAACCATAAGTTTAGAAAATATGAAAAAAATCTGAAAAGTAGAACTTTATAAGGACTTTCTAGGAAAATCATTTTGAACTTGGATGGAAACAACAGTACCCACTACCGGGAGCAGTTGCAGGAGCGCGGAGCGCTGCTGGAGCGCGAACATAATGGATACCCACCTTTAAACTCATAAGTGGGAACATTTATTGTGACGGACGGGAAACTACGGAACCCTACACTGAGCGTGGCCCGACACGCTCTTGGCCGGTTTTTTAAAGATTGTAGTGAAAATGGAGGATAATAGTGTTCCTTGTGATAAATTGAAGTGTGTTAAAGTGCTAATCAGCGAGTAAAAGGTAAAATCTTTAAACTTTGTTGAGAAAATACACAAGGTCAAGAGCGTTTTCAGACTTCTCAATCATTGCAATTGAAAAACAATTATTGTTACAATTAAAATGTTCACATTTCACGCGGACGTAATCAAATCTTTCCTTAAGAAAGAGAGACGATTCGACTTTTTTTTAATTTTGTACATAGTTCGTTTGTACTTTGTTCATACTTTTCTTTTGTTCATGTATTGTATTGTATGTAAATATCATTTTCTTTCACTCAAGCAAACCCAAACGGTTTTTTTAAAGCCACCGAAGGTATGCAATTGCTGATATGTCATACAATCTATCTAGCAGTAGTATGCCTTCTGTGTGCTTTGTTAAACACGTTCTCGACAATACTGAAGAAGAAACTGAATAGTGAAGACAGATCAAGATGTGTGATGTGTTTTTATAATACTGCTAAAACAACAAAACCATATCTTGGGCATGCCCTAGTTTGGAGCCCTAGCTTTGCCACTGATACTGGCACTATATATCCTCCAGACTGGAACACAGCGGTTTAAGCTTTGATGCTTAGCGATAGAAATAGGTGAGAGGGTGGTACACACACGGACTCCTAGGTAGAAAACAAGTTCTACCCCCCCCTAGTTAACATGCGACTTGAGCTATGGGTTAAAGAAAACAGATTAGTTCAAAAAGTTACAGCGTATTAAAGTCCATTGCTGAACATAGCTTTCCCCATAGATCGCTACAAAAGATGATATTTGCCAACGTTGCTATATCTGGCAAGCAACTTGGCAACCGTAGTTAATTTTTTTATTTTTAGTCTTTATTAGTACAACGCTCCTGCCCATCTCCTAATTTGTTTTCCTCTGTCGCCTCTTACGACACTCGCGGGATGATGTCTGGTGGTGGATATTCTTACACAGCCACTACATAGTAAAAGTAATTATTACGGATTAGTTCAATGTTTTTATATTATTATTCAGTTTTAATTACTTGGTATCAAGCATAGTTACCGAATGAAATAAGCTAAATGCTGGCAATTATGTTAATTTGCCTTATAATGTTTGTCATAGGGGTCGGGTGACGTCAAGTACCACCTGGGTACGTACATCCATCGCTTCATCAGGCGCACCAACAGATACATCAAGGTGTCGATGAGCTGCAACCCCTCGCATTTGGAGGTGGTCACACCCGTCGCGGCTGGAAAAACCCGGGCCGAGCAGTACTGGACCGGCGACAAGAACGGTGATAAGGTATTCAGTCACCTCTGTCGATTTTTCACTTATTCATCCTTTCAAAATCCAATGCAGAACAACTTTCTCTCCATAGATTGTCTCTATGTTTCCCATAGTTACCACGCTTGACTGACTGAAATTACTTTCAATTAGAATTACTTGTAATCTAAACTAATCTATTTTTGGCAGACGTAGTGGCAACCACAGTATATTTTATAGTTGTTATTAGGGAGACACTGCTGGCCAACTCTTAGTTTGTTTCTTTTTGTCACCTCTTCCGACACCCACGGCATGGTATGGGCTAATGGATATTCTTACACTGCCGCTATATGGTTGCTTGCTCATATACCTACATCATTTTATATATAGAATAAGGTTAACGCACGAGAACACAGACCATCTGATAGTAAGTGGATGCTGTGGCCCACAGACAACTACATCTATCCCCGATCAAGAATCAAAGTGCAAATGCGTTGTCACCCGTGAGAACTAAGATTGAATACCCCGTTTCCAGTAAAAATGTCTATGGACCACAGAACCCACTTTCCATCAGGTGTACTGTGTGCTCATTTGTCACCCTTATTTTATCAAAAAACGTTGTAACTTTACCATTCTTTTACTGCCATCGATCCAGGTAATGGCGATTATAATCCACGGTGACGCGGCGTTTTCGGGGCAGGGCATTGTGTACGAGACGGTGCACATCGGGCAGCTGCCCAACTTCACTACGCACGGCGCCATACACATCATCTGCAACAACCAGATCGGGTACACCACCGACCCTAGGTTCGCCAGGAGCTCGCCCTACTGCACCGGTTACGTATATTTTTGAATTAACATAACATAAATAATTTGTTTTAATATGTGTTAAATTAAAAAAAGTAAAAATTAAGTTTAAAAATAAAGTAACAATACTCACACATACGTGGTGAGCACAGGCTGCCTCTCATAACCGGGATATGCTTTCTCTGTCCAAACTATCGTAGAAATATTTTATTCCTCCAATTTATATGCAGTTTTTTTCTTTTCTCCACGATATTTTTACAGCCGTGAGGCGAATTTTTTATATAAACAATCCCGACACATTTATATTATTTTGTTTGGGTGTGGTGGGGGGTATCTGTTTTTTTTTTTTTTTTTTTTTTTTTTTTGAAAAATAAAAAATTTTTTTCATAATTGGAAATAAAAAAATAATATAGGAGGCACAAATTTTTTTTTTTTTTTTTATTTTTTTTTTTTTGGAAAAAAATTTTTTTTTTTTTTTAAATCCTTTTTTAATAGTAATTAAACACAATTGCAATTAACAATTGACACTGTAGGGCCAAATTCTGGTTGTGCGTGTATTGTGGAGTTTGCGTAAACTTAGCTCCTACTATTTTTTTAATTTTAAATGTTATTACACTAATTATGTGGGCGCCAGCCAGAGGTTGCAAAAAAAGGGCTGCGTGACACACTTATTTACTCTTATTTAAATTTCTATTCTATTTACTCTTATATAAATTTAAAAAAAATGGTTAAAATGAGCCTTGACTGCTGAGCGCTCACTGCCAAAATAAAAAAGTGAGAACTTCTTCGAAAAATGTGTTTGTATTTTATTTAATATGTTCATATTATCTGCTTATATGACTAGTACTACCTACTGCATATAATATCAAAATCCATGAGTAAATAGGCCATAAAACATATTTTTATGGCTGATTTCACGCATGGACGCCAGTTTGTTATTTAAGTCAAAAATGTATCTGCAGTAAACGTATGACACGCATAGTCATATAGGTAGGGCTGCATTATCATGACAGCAACAATAATGTTCGACTCAACCTGACATGACATGAATTGGAAGGAAGGGTGAAATAGTTAGCAGAAACATAGTTGCATTACGCTACCGTGTGACTCTTTGCACTCGAAATGAGACATTCCATCTTAGTCCTAAGGAGCGGCAACGCATATGATAGATATCTTAGATATCTTAGATAGTGATCTGTGATGATGTTAGCGGGGATGGAGGTCGTGAAAACTGAATTAGAAAATTCTATTACAGTCATACATATACGCCTAGCTGCATTTCATTTTTTTATCCTGGTGATCCCGATTAGCATGTAAGGATAAAGTTAATAAATTATTTTATAGTCATCGGTTCTTGATACCAGTGCAGATTTTCAAGTCAATCGGCCGCCTACACGTTTGTGAAAATTACATTTAAAGATTCCGTTACATAGATAGATACAGGTTAAGCTAATAAATGCGTGTTTTAAAAAACCGTCTAATACGTAATAATTCTAATATTCACTTCAAAATTGTGGTGGCAGACGTGGCAAAGTGCGTGGACGCGCCGGTGCTGCACGTGAATGGCGACGACGCGGAGGCAGTAGCGCACGTGGCACGCGTGGCCATCGCCTACCGCTGTCGCTTCAAGCGGGACGTCGTACTCGACCTCGTGTGCTACCGCCGCTTCGGCCACAGCGAGGAGGACGAGCCCATGTTCACGCAGCCCTTCATGTACAAGAAGATCAAGACTATGAAAACAGGTGGGGAATGCTTTTTAAATGTGGTGGCGGTATAAGAGAATATATAACTCCATTTCGTCCCGTCGTTGTCGTAAGAGGCAACAATGGAAACAAAAAATACATGTGCGCAGTAGCGAGTAAAATGTATTTCTAGTGGCGTCATCTACTTCATTCTATATATAAATACATTTATCAAACAAAAATTGATTGACTCTTAACGCCGTACGTAAAATTGACGCTAGATTTTTTTATACGAGAGGGGGCAAATGAGCATACGGTTCACCTGATGTTAAGTGATGTCGTGATGTAAGTGGTGCCGTCCATGAACAACTGCAACACCAGGGGAATTGCATGTGCGTTGCCGGCCTTTTAGAAAGGAGTAAATTCTTTTCTTTAAGGTCCCTAGGTCGTATCGGTCCGGAAAAATCGCCGGTGGTAAACTATTTCACAGAGAGGTCATACGCGGAAGAAAACTTCTAGTGAAACGTACAGTGGTGGACCGTCAAGCATCTAGATGGTGTGGATGGTATCAGGAGGTTTGCCGCATAGTGCGTTCATGAAATTTGGCGGCTGGGATTAATCTGAACAATTGGCATAAACACGACAAATTTAATATAAAACATGAAGTTATGAAGTCGTGGATTATTTTGGATGGATTGGACATGATAGCTTTATTCAATATGGTTAATTTTATTTGTATAATAAAATAAATATGTTAATATTTAAGCAGTTAAAAGTTATGTTAACCATCTTTAAAGCACCGCACAAACAGGAGACTGAGATAATAGGAAAGACACTATACGCTGTATACTACAGTCAGCGTCAGATATAAGGAAGTAAACCGACAAAAGGAGATGAGATAATAGGAAAGACACTATACGCTGTATACTACAGTCAGCGTCAGATATAAGGAAGCAGTCAAGGTGGTCAAATATTTTGAAACATCCAAAGTGATCATAAACATTCAACCATCCATAGTGGTCAAATTATTGAGAACATTAATATTGCTCAAATATATCGGAACACGTACAACGTCAAATATATGCGATCATTTAAACCGTTCAATATTATAGTAACAAACAGAACGCCAATGGTATCCAAGCAGTCAAAGTATTCAAAAATTTGGAATACTTTAGGAAAAGAAATTTTGTCTTGATGTAAAGATTGTACTTTGAATAATTTTAAAATTCAATTCATGCGTTTAACACAACAGCAAAAGAAAATACAGAAAATTTTCTTTAATTAACATAATATTAGATTGATAAATAAAATTAAATCAGATAAAAAATGATATATTTATTTTATTTCAATAAAATTGTTTTATATAAAATTTTGACTTTGATGCTGATGAAACCGAAGTAAGAGCGTAAGCTACACCGTCTATGAGGACAAGTAGGACGATACGTCTTTGCGTTGGTGTCATTTATAATTATCGTAGTTATTAAAATTCGAAGCTAAATGTTAGAAAAATGACCTTTCTATGAACTGTTAAATATTTAAATCTGTGATTTAAATAGTAATCTACGCTATAATTTTTTTTTCATAGGAGTATGTGTTCATCAAAATTTATCATCTTTAAGCTAAAATAATATCCTTCCAATTTAATTTGATCACGCTTCAAGAGACTTCCAAATATTTTCAAAAAATACGAAATGAGCAAAAGATTTTAGTATCAAAATTTATCTATCTACACTTCATATAAAAAGTACACTGTACTGTTCCTAACCTAACGGGTATCGGGCATGGGTATGGAAAAGTTAACCGATAGGATTGTGGGAACATAAGTGTTCGGATATAGTGTGTGCCACAAGGCCAAGTGCTTAAAATACCTAACTACCAAGTTGCGGATCCTCAGTTGGAATCGAAATAGATACTGTGACAACACACGTTTGTTTTTTATAGAAAAAGGGTGACAAATAAACACACAGTCCGCCTGTTGGTAAGTGGATGCTGTGGCCCATAGACATCTACGATTCTTCATAATTAAGAATCACAATGCAGATTCGTTGTCATCCCTGAGGACTGAGATGAAATACTTCGTTTCCAGTAAAAAGGGTCTCCGGTTCTCTACACTCAACATACGAAACACAACAGTATTAAGGAGTCATTTTACGCTGGTATTCTGTGAAAACGTGATCCTACCCCGGCCGAACCGATCTATTTCTGCTACAATCATAATATAACTACAATCTATCACAGAAAAAAATCGAAAAGATAAAAAACGAGAATGTGTCGCATGTCTCGAACACTGCCCTACAAAGATCAGTCGAATGACCTGAGTTGAAAGAATAATAAAAATAACTTAAAGCGTAGTGTAGCTAATGGGCACACCATTAACTACCGGCACAGCATAGCATAGCAAGTTACATAGATTTTTATTGGTATTATTACCGCCAATCAAAAGTTCACTGCTGAGCATAGGCCTCCCCTACGAGTAAAAAATGATATAATTTGATAAAATCCAACGAATTATTTTTCGCATTGAAAACTGATAATTAAAACAATTTAACTTTATTTTATTTTATTTTATTTTAGATATATTGAAAATAAACAATAACACATTAAAAAAGTAAAATCAAAAACGAGAATATCCTTCGGCATCAATTATGTCACTAAGACGTTGACGCATTGATCACACCGTATTGTAACAAAAATTACTTCCTCTCGTGGATTCTCATGTTTTTATAACACGTCACTTTAAATTTTCGATAGACAGAAATAAGTTCTGTATCATTTTCCCCCACAAGTTTTCTATTGGATTTAAGTCCTAACTGTGGGCAGGAATAGTGATTCGCTCGAAGTTTCGATTTTCGCTTAAATAATTCTGTACTATCCTGCAGTTGTGGACAGAGCTGATCTTGAATGAATACAATTTTTCAAACTCATTTGGATAAAATACTCTGGCTGTTGGCAATAGCACTTCCTCAAAGATCTTATTTTGTTGGCCGTTTAATCTTACACCAACCTCGATCAGTTCTCCCGGACCATTTTGGCACATCCACACCCAAAAACCCCATATGATTCGGCCACTTCTGTTATTAGTTATTGCATTTCTCTCATCGTATCTGGTGTTATTAATTCTCCTATAAGAATAAACGACCACAAGCAGATGAGCAAAATACTTTTTTATCTATAAAAATGACATTTTCGAAGTTGTAATTTATATAATTTTGTGCAAATTGTAAGCGTTGTGCTTTGTGCCTTGATGTAAGCTTTTTTGCAGGTGTATGAACACTCGCTCATGTAACCGTCCCCATATTGTTACTCTGCGATAAACCGAATTCAATTGATAAACGACGTGAATTAACAAAGCGATTGTTTATAGCTCCTTGTAGTATTCCTCTGTCTTCTTCGACGCCGGTTCGACGTGGGTGTCCTGTCGTTACGTGATTTTGGATATGCCTTTGCTCAATCCAACGATACACGGTATTTCTCTAAAAACAAAATTATCTGTAGAATTAAACCTATGTAACTCAAAACTCAAAATCACAGTGAACAAAGGTCAACCTACGGATATGCCTAGTTCATTAGAAATATCTGTTACAGAGACGCCTTCTTCTTTCAGGTGAACAATTCTATATTTCATTTCATGGTTAATACGAAATAAATTTATATTGTTTTAACTATGAGCAATAAAATCACGAGAATTAGAAAAATGTGAATATTATAACTACGATTAACCAAAGAACATTTAAATCACAGAACACTATTACTCCTAGCGGAAAATTTAGATATAATGACTTTGACTTACTTCAAATATGATAGAATGCATTTGAGATAAAAATTAAAATATTATTATTAGGTACTAGTGATAAAATGAATTCGGTTTTAAATATTCAATTTAAATAAATATTTACATCTAGCTACATGTCACTGTTTCGCTTGGATATGATCTATTAACTACTTATGAATTATTTCTTAAAGTTTGTCGGATAAAATGTGGCCCAGGTCTCTCTTGGTATTACTCTCTATCTGTTCATAAAGCTTTATCACATAACTGATTGTGATAAAACTTGACGAACAGAAATACCAAAGATTAGCCCTGACAGAAAGATAGACAGATGGACAGGTAAACAGACAGACACACAAAAATTTTAAAAATGGTTGTTTTTTTTTTTCAATCGTATGCACATAATTTCCTAAGCTTAATGGAAGCCATTTATTTTAATATTGCCTATAATATATATAATAAAAATATGCCTATAATAAATCAATTTTAGGCAATGAAAAACTGCTACAATATAAGAAGGTAAATTTTGGCAGTGTGTTAATGATCGTATTTGCTCTAGTGGATATCGAGCGGGGACGCGAAATTGTAATGCCTTGGTTCGCGTCCTGTCTTCGGTCCGACTTTTTCCTTTTTTTTCAAGCTCCCTTCTTTTGTGAGAAAATATATTAATTTGAGCCCTTTTTTAGTATTTTTTAAAAATACGAACATTTTAATTACACTAATTGCACTCATGATGTTTTATTCAAATAACCAATTCAGTATTTTGTATTATGTCAATAAGATCAAAAAATATTATTCATATTACATCAGTATGTAATTTGTATCTTAAATGTAATTTAAAAAAAACTGAGCAAAGCTGGGTCATCGAGGTACCTACTATATATATATATATATATATATATATATATATATAAAGATCGCATATTATTTACGATTTCGAATTCAAAATCTTATATAGGTAATTCGTAATCTGTGTACTAATATAATATAATATATTATATTTACAAATATGCAGATATTTTTACATGTTTTTTTGGTTTAAAAAACATTATCCCACAATAGATTGTCTCCTGTATCGTGGAGGCAATTTTTGCGTTAAGCGTCGAGGGCCGCGGGTTCGAATCCTGCACGGAACAATTCGTTTGTTATGAAATTTATGTACTTAGTCGGGTATTAAGTCCTGTCAAAACCTTATTATTTAAATTTTTTGAATACTGTATATAGATGAACTTCATCAATTTTAAAAATATAACGTTTGCCCTTGCCGAAAAAAAAAAAAAAACATAATATATCGAACTATATAAACTGCCCCCACGATACAGGAGAAAATTCTACTGTGGAGGTAACGTTTTAATTAATTTAAATACAAATCTAAAGTTTACCGACACGCACTGAAACAGCGAATGAAGTGGACAATAATCTTCTCAGCAATGAGAGGAGGCCTACGCCTAGCCGTGGGAAGTACTCGTTACATAGGTTGAAGCATTACTGCAGTCATGGACGTTAAAATAGCTTTATTTTTTTAGTAATAACACTATTATGATAAAACACGTGCCCCACAGAGAAGCACAACCTCAATAATTCTTTAATATTATTGTTTATTTAATAACTCAGTTCTTCCAAATCATTTTGCCTCCCAATCTCAATGTGACTTAATTTTTCATCTTTTTTACGCAAAACTAATAATGATTTTCACTTTAGGGTATTTTAGTGATATAACGGAAATAATGCATGATGTAATTAAATGCGAATTATATGCCTTTAAAAGACTTGAATTGAGCAATTTTATCCGTGCCAGCGGAATTAGAATTTTAATCGAAATTACACAAACAGACGGAGTGTTTTATAAAAATATTAGTAATGTACAGAACGTGTATTTATGTTTACAAAATTATTTTAGGTTAAAAGGATCCATAACATACCTACGTAAAACGCCTTCTCTTTCTGACAGACAACGAAATAATCTCCTGACCTACCGAAGAACTAGGCCAGGGTGCAGTCTCGAGTGCATATTGTCTGAACAGCAATTCTCAATAGGTTAATGACGTATTCCAGTCAATAGAAAGATAATATGTTAAATACTGAAACACCTGATGATGATATTGTTGATGATAAATTTCTATTACTGAATATCTGTACTTAAAGTTATAGCCTATATACGTCCCACTGCTGTGCACAGGCTTCGTCTCATTTCTGAGAGGGTTTTAGGGCAAGGAATAGTCCGACGCGCTGCCCCAATGCATGATGGCAAACTTCACATATCTTCGAAATATATTTTTTTCTTATTTCTCAGACATGCAGGTTTCCTCACGATGTTTTCCTTCACCACCGAACACGTAGTAAATCAGCACTTAAAATTGAAATTAACAATTTCATTGGTGCTGGCGGGGATCGAACCCGGTTTGTTCGTGTATTGTGAAATTTACAGCGAGCGCTAACCATCTGAGCTACCACTGCTCCCTCTATATCTGTACTTATTTGATTTATAATATTTATTTTTTTCAAATTATAACTATGTATTTCAAATTAAAACATTATTTATTCCTTACTAATTTCTACTTGGAGAGCCACATAAGGACTAAGATGGCCAAATTTGGCTCTGCTTAAAGGATTGAATATAATTAATTCCTTTGATAGGTACTCATAGAAAATCCCCACAAATAAACCTTTTTGCCTTGTATTTCCTTGTTTAGTTGTTCCAAAAAAAATTATCGTAACAAAATGTTTAGAGCTTTACGGGAAATCTAACAATTATAATTTATAACACATTAACATCACAAATCTTAATATATATAAATTACGTGTCACGTTGTTTGTCCGCGATGGACTCCTAAACTACTTAACCAATTTTTAACCAATTTTGCACACCGTGTGCAGTTTGGTCCAACTTGAGAGATAGGATAGTTTTTTTGCTTATGAGTGACCCACAATTTTTTTGCGAATTTTAGGATTCTTAATGAGACATGACAAGGGATCGTCGAAAAGGGCAAAACAACGTCTGCCTGGCAAGCTAGTGATTTTATAAAAATAATCTGAACAAAACATGTCAATGACGTCAAGCATAAAATAAGAGCAAGCGAAGTAATAATACTGAGTTGTATTAAATGGAACATTGATAATTTAATATGAAGTATAATTTATAATGTATATTTTTTAATAAAACTTAGTGCAAAATAAATTACACCCAATTCCATTAAGATAAAGTTATTTTTCCTGTTGAGTCCCGCATTTTTGAGTATTTTAACTGCTTCGTTACCATTGACGTTTTGATTGTTACTGTATTATAGACGGTTTGACTGAAACCATATATCTGACGTTGTATATATTCCGATATATTTGAGCAAAATTGGTGATCACAAGAATTTGCCTACTTTAGATGGTTAAATATTATTGATCACTTTGGATGTCTCTAATTATTTGATCACCTTGACTGCCATCTTCCTATTGACGCTGACTGTACCTCAATCTCCCACAGTCTAAATCCTATAGATATATAATCTCTTTTTAGTGTGTCTTTTTCGTTTTATCGAGTTTCAAATCACAACTATTCTAAAGAAATTTACGGTTTCAAGATTATGGCCACCGAAAGAATGACGATGTAACCATCTCTTTTCTGCAAGGCGTAAAATGCACATCCAGGTGACGGATAGCAGTGCCATGATGTGGAACGTCTGGCTCTGCAATCGTCAATATGCCTGCTCAGCGTGACGATTGAGGCAATCACGAATAAACAATCGAAGAGACCCCATTTCCTACAGTAGACTCATACGGGCTGGTGAGAAAGAAGAAGAATAAGTGAATGTGTTTATTCAAACGGGATCCAACCCAAAAAGGTTACTGATGTAGTGGCAGCGTATAAGAATTCATATAATCCCGTGGGTGTCGTAATAGGCAATGGAGTTAAAAGAACTGATGGACAGCAGCATATTGCTGATAACAACTGAAAAAAAAACTAAACTAATATTACGGTTGTAGCATGAATAGGTTGGCTCGACTGGTGCAGGACCACGCTCTCACAGAATACCAGCGTGAAATAGCAACTCAATACTGTTGTGTTTCTTATGGTGGATGTGGAGAACCGGAGAACCTTTTTACTAAAAAAAAGGCATTATTTCTTAGATCTCTCGATTAACAACGCAACTACATTTTGATTCTTAATCAAGGATAGATGAAGATGTCTATGGGCCATAGCATCCACTTACCATCAGGTGGACTGTGTGCTCGTTTGTCACCTTTATTCTTTAAAAAAAAAGGCTGGCACCGCGCCTGCAATTGCCCTGGTGTTACAGATGTGCATGAACGACGGTGATCACTTACCATCAAGTGAGCCGTATGGTCGGTTGCCTCCCCTCAGACATTGCAAAATATTGCATTTCATCAGAACTTTTCCTGTCACCAACAGTTGACCAGATATACGCCGATAAATTGAAAGCTGAGGGAATGGTAACAGACGCTGAAATCAAGGGTTGGGAGAAAGAATACATGGACACACTGAACAAGCACTTCGAGCTGGCCAAGAAGGTGACAAAATTGAGCATCATGGACTGGATCGATACACCGTGGACTGGGTTCTTTGAATCGACGGATCCTAAACGGGTGACTATATTCATTACACAATTCTTTAACAAACATTTTAAGAAAAGTTAAGAATTGTAATTGAGCTCACAGTCTATCTAATGGAAAATAATCACTACAATCTCAGGACTCGTCCAGCGAACTTCAAAAAGGAATGCTTCTTGTACATTTGCACACCTAAAGAATAAGATGTGCGCCTTATAGTCAGTAATAATGTCGGATCTCTTAGTTTAGCTGAAACACGATTAGAATCACAAAGTATAAAAATCCAAAAGTGTTTTCGAGGCCTGGAAAACATCTAAAAAACAGTTGACCCTGCAGGTTATCCCTGGAACTTCTCCCAACGTTCGGTTGCAAAACTCTTGACAAATATTTTTAAGAACTAATAGTTAACTTATTACATCAAAAACAATCCAATCCGAAATTTCAAATTTATTAAAAAAAACACTTTTTCGATAACTTTCGAACGGATCAACCAATTCTGATATTATTGATTGTAATTGACAAGGAATTTTAAGAACAATGATAAAGTATATTATATAAAAGAACGATTAAGCTAAAAATTCAAATTTTATGTGTAAAAAATACTTTTTTTCGAATTTTTTTTAATTCATCCATTCCTACGTGGATGGATAGATTAAAAATGGATGGATTCATCGATTCATCGATTTCTCTTCAACGCATTAACCGATTTTGAAGCGGTTCGCAGCAATCAACGTCATTTTCCATGTTAAAGAGCTGATCAGTTTTGGAATTTATCGTTAGATCTGTTTAAAAGCTATTCCATAAAATCATGCAAACATTTATTTTTAAGATTTATCAAAATCTACCGGTCCAAATCGGTTGAAACAGTTGAAACAGAAACCATTTTGAACGCCACCGAGTTCGTTCACACTTTCGCATGCCCTCACGCACTCATTCATACACGTACACACGCGCAACACTTCCGCAGGCACGCAAACAAGCAGGCACGCACGCAAGCATGCACGAAGGCACATCATAAAACACAAAGTTTCTCGTAGGAACTTCGATTTTCGAAAATTGGGTGAAACCAATAACTTCCCGGTTTTTTTGAAATCATGGATTTTCGTAGAGGGAAGTTAAAAATTATGCCTGTAAGTAATGGTGCACACACGTATGAAGTGAAACCTTTTTACGGCATATCATTCTTCTTTTATTTTATATTTTGCATTTGTTAATTAATAATAGTAATAATACTCATGCAGCCCCGGCGGTGACAACTTACAAGGAAACGTGATTTTTTATAGTTTATTTACATTTATTTGTTTATAGTTTTATAGTAAATTTACATTATAGTATATTTATGAGTTTATAGTTTCTATTATTTGATTGTAGATCGCTGATACAGGAATATGCGAAGAATCCATAATGACAATTGCAAACCACTTTTGCAAGCCGCCCGAGCCCTGGGCGTTCGAAGTTCACAAGGGCATCAATAAAATATTGTCGAATCGAGAGAAGCTGGTACGTATAATCATAAATTGTCACGCCAACTACCACGAATTCTTTTTAATTTTTCATCAACTATAAGGTATTAAAGGTTGTGGTCAACATCATTGGTCTAGATGTTTCAGTTAAGAAATTGGATTGTCTTGCAAACTATCACAAAAATTTTAACGATTCCTTATCTGCACTGGCTTGCCTTCCTTACTTTTCTATAATATACTTTCTTCTAATAATATGCAAAATTAAACTTATGGCGCCATCTGTCGGTATACAACAAAAGCGTCTTTTTTTATAGGATACGGTGACAAACGAGCACACAGTCCACCTGATGGTAAGTGGTTGCTGCGGCCCATAGACATCTACATCTATCCTCGATTACAAATCAAAATGCAGATGCGTTGTCACCCGTGATGACTAAGATGGAATGCCTCGTTTCCAGTAAAAAGGGTATCCGGTTCTCTACACTCACTATACGAAATACAGCAGCATTACGCTACTATTTCACGCTGGTATTCTGTGAGAGCGTGGTCCTTCCCCGGTCGAGCCGAACCATTCGTGCTACAACTATACTCCTAATATAACTGCAGCATGGCTCTACCACGTATAAATCGTATAAGAAGTCGACGTGATCGATACCCACATGTAAATAAAAATCAAGCCTAACTGCATCTGTAATGGCTGTTCTTGTCTAAACCTTCCAAGAGAAAATCAATCGTAAGTTAGTGTGTCGGGTTGACCCAGCTGTGTGTATAGATATACTATAAAATCAATCGTAAGAGTGGGGGTGTGTATGATATATATATCAATGTAGATGTTCGGGTTGACCCGCTGTGTGTAAGATATTGTAAGTGTGTGTCGGGTTGACCCAGCTGTGTGTATAGATATACTATAAAATCAATCGTAAGTTAGTGTGTCGGGTTGACCCAGCTGTGTGTATAGATATACTATAAAATCAATCGTAAGTTAGTGTGTCGGGTTGACCCAGCTGTGTGTATAGATATACTATAAAATCAATCGTAAGTTAGTGTGTCGGTGAGCGTGTTATTCTTAAAATCAATCGTAAGTTAGTGTGTCGGGTTGACCCAGCTGTGTGTATAGATATACTATAAAATCACATTGGAGTGTGGTCAAAGAAGACCAAAGCCTTCCCCATCCGAATATATTGTTGAAGCCAAGTTGAAGCTGATCGCCACTGCCGCTAACCGTGAGTTTACCTACTTCATTTACCCTTCCTAGTGAGCCAGACTAATTTTATCTCACTGTAGGTAAATTATTTAGCAATTCCAAATAAAACTCAAATTACTTTTATTTTAAGTAGAAGTGTCGCGATTACTAAACTTTTTAATTTTTTTGTATAATAAATATTAGTAATCTTATTAATTAACATTACTAATGTTCCTTTTAACCACTCCTGGTAAGCTTGAAACGCTTGTGTTAGGAGTGGTTCACGACAGTAGTCGAATGGCGGATTCGAACCCACGACTATTTGAGTTCGCGATCCGCGCCCTTTTTTTTTTTTAACATGGGAAATGCCTACGCATACCCGCCTCGCGGGGGGCAAGGACGGGTTATGTCGGACTCGCACCGACTAAAACCCCATGGTGTTCCACCTTCGTCGCATATTGGCAGGGCTACGGGAACGCTTTCGCACACTTCCGTGGCCGTACCAGCGACTGCCGCCCCATGGCAGCACCTCCTCGGGAGAGGAATATTCCTCCCCGTTCTCCTTCCCAAGTAAGGCGCACCAGAACACATGGCACGCCTTTCTCCACGACCTCCAATTACATCTGCGCAACAGACGCCCCCGCGTCCATGCGCGAAGGCCATGGGGCCAGGAAAAACGAGCACTTAGAAGTACTAGCCTTCCCCGACCCCAGCGGCGGATCTGGTCTATGGCTCCGCCGCCAACCAAGATTCGGCTGCGGAGGATAGGGAGAGCGGCGCCTCGCAATACCGACAATCCTCTCCCCCCGCAGCCCCATCACCACCGCATCAACGGTGCGGCCCCGTTTGAGTCGCGGAGGATAGGGCGAGTGGCGCATCGCCATACCAACACTCCTCTTCCTCCGCGACTCCACCTCGGCTGCAGCGGTAGAGGGTGCGGAGTCCCCACTCGCTGCAGTCCACCAGCACAGATCCGAAGTGGGCTCCCCAAGCCCACTCGGAGTGGCCACCTCAGGCCGGCCCTTCACCTCGGGCCAGCCACGTGGGTTCCTCTTTGTTCACTGTGGGAGACCAAGCCACGGCTACTAAGCCCCCCCCCGCCACGACAAGGCGGGAACCCGTTCGGGGGGGGCGATCCGCGCCCTGCCGTTAGGCTACTGTCGCTTCAATTTCAAGGTTATCATCTTAGGAAACGTTCAGACGACGGGCGTTAAACGGGCGACGCGACAACTACACGCTTTTTATTCCTAATTAGTTGTACGCTAACTGCAATTGACGCACGACTCTAAGACTCGGACTTAGTTCGGTCGTACCTTAACAAAACGCAGTCAGTGACATAATATTGTTTTATTTAAATTTTTTTACATAATCATTCTCTTCGGAAACTTTTTATATGAAAATTTATTTAAGCTTCATTATAATACACCTTATTCTAAGGTTACAAGGGGCGGAATGAATACACATCAATACATCAATACAGTCAACCTTGTGAGAAAAAGATAAATAAAAGTTGGTAGGTGCTAAAAAATTGTTAAAACTAACTAGAGATTAAGCTAAAGCATTTTCGCAGTGAAACTGATAGTAACTTTAACAAGCTTCGAGTCAACAAGCTTATCTCGCATTCTTTCGTGTTGCGACTTGCGCTAATGACTTTCATTGTTAAAAACATTTTTTTTTACTTTTTGACTTTCTGCTTTTATCTTTTTAATATTGTATACAAGGGCGTTTGTTTTGGCATAGATGCTATTCTTATTAGTTTTTACATAATCAATGATAACAAAATGCCATATACTACCAAAAGTATTTCAGTCCAGTTTCGCTAATTTATGTGCCATTATTATTTAAATATATTATTCTTTATTATTATTTTACCTTTTGAGTGCATTATTTACAATTATTGTGGATTTCGTTAGTTAATATTTTTTTATAAAATATTTGCACGCTATTGAGACACGAGTAACAATTTTTAAAAAGGTTCGTTATCTGTCAGTCCAAACTAATATTCGGAATGACTGAACAAGTTCTAATAAAATTCTACGAACAAATAGAGTAATACCAAGAGTGATATATGCTAAATGTTATCCCAAAATGTTGTTCGTCTCCGATGTTTAGAAATTAAAATAGAAATATTGATAAGATAAAATAAATGGTCTTTAATGATTATCTTAATTATACATAATGCCACGTTAATAGACTCCGGCAAAGCCAGAGCTGGTCGCTAGTTATAAATGTTATTTTAAAATGAATGTACCTTCTTGCGTATACAATTCTTTTCAAATATTTTCCCATTAAACGTTATAACGATATACCATTATTAGTGGGTTTTCGCTATTTTTACTGTGCGTGTTGACGGTACGGACTTGATGATTCGCCATTTCAAATCCCATTCTTTATCCGTACGAACTGTACCTATACAACTGCGTTATAATCCGTACAGAGTTTAAAATGGAACTGCCGAGATCTTGACGTTGTTACATTTCCTTTTGTATTTAAACGATATATTTTGTGTCAGGTAAAACAAGGCGTTGCGGACTGGGCAATGGGCGAGGCATTGGCATACGGGTCGCTGCTGCGCGACCGCATACATGTGCGCCTCACCGGCGAGGACGTCGAGCGGGGCACTATGGCCCACAGGTGGACTCGACAGCCATACCACTATTGGCACTTTTATAGCTATATATACAGCCTAGTTTGCGTAAATGTTGCATTCGGGCACCATTGCCCATAAATGGACTTGACAGTCATACTAGTATCAGCACCGCTACATCAAATTCAGAATTCATGAATGAAAAAGTAAAAAAGAAGACTCGAAAGTTTTTCGTGTAATATTTTTTTATAATAGGCTTTTTGTTAAGTTGAAAAAAATTGCGTTAATCGCCGTAAATCACAATAAAATCGGTTGATTTGTTCGTGAAATATTCCATTTTGAAAAAATAAAAAGGTGGTTTGACAAATTTAAGATTTTATTTGATTAAAAACGTCATAATAAGTTTAATTTGGAGCGCTTTGATATTGAAACTAGCGGGAAGTTACAGGGAAGGCCTGAAGGGTAAGACATTTTTTGTGTATATTTGAGTGGATCCCTAAATGGTTTAAAATCAATAAGACCCAGTAGCGAGCGCTGTTGTCAAGATCAAGAAATCACCCCTGCAAAGCTGGAATGCTAGTATACAATATTTTTTACTCGTTTTTTTTTTAATTTTGTATTAGCATAATAACTAATTTAAAGTAGTTATGGGTGTAGTTTGCACACGCTGTCAACTCCTCATTCGGTGATACTTCTTCTGCATTTACTTATATTATCTCCTTTTTATATCAAAAGTTTCTAGACAGAAATGTTTTTCTTCGCGTTTACAATCTTATTATCCACTGTTTGGACTTTGGCATGCGGTTACGCGTATTAATATTTATACTACAGCAATGATTTATTAATGATATTTCTGAACTGAAAAAAATTATATACTTGTATCAGGCACCACGTGTATCATCATCAAGGCGTGGACGGAGCCACGTACAGAGTCCTTGACACCCTGTACCCGGATCAGGCCAAGTACTCGCTTCACAACAGTTCCTTATCAGAGTTCGGTTAGTAGTAGTTATATTATATTTTTCTTTATAGCAAAGTGACAAAAGATCTTACAAACCACACGATCATAAGTGGCTACTCACCACTGAGGACTGAGATGCAATAACTCACGTCCTGTTATTTTACCGACACTGCTGGTTTCTCTGTACCATTCAGAGCAGAACACAGCAGTGCATGTACTGTGTTATTGTAGGTACTATTGTTATTTATTCTACTTATCTACGAAACGGGTAGAAGAACAGAGCAAGCGACTTAAACCTCTATTTTATATTGTTATTTCTTTCATATTGTTATTTGATAGATACTATTTACTTTATATTATGTTATAAGTCCTATATACGTTATGATGTTTATTTACTTAAAACCTAAATTGTATTGTATACTTACTTAGAAGCAAAACTAATTAGATTGTAATATATAAATGATGATTGTATCTTCGAATAAGTTAACAATGACACAAACAAGAATAATGTTGTTCCCTTATCTTTACCTCCACCTCCTAGCTTCCTACATCATTTAAACTAAATCCTTCCATCCCTCAACGAAATTCCATTTCCAAGTTCTCTGTATCAATTTCTATATTTTAAGTTAGTTTAAAATTATTGAATATATTTATAGTTAAAAGAGTTTTTCTCTGCCACAATTGCATAACAATTGCTATTCGACGGCAGTAGAGGTAAGAGGTTGGTAGCTACCCCGATGGACTTATAGGTAGAAAAGTAGTTCAATGATGGAAAAAATATTTCTCATCCTTGGATTGAAGGCAATCTCTATATATAAAAATTTATCGATGTCCGTTAGTCTCGCAAAAACTCGAAAACGGCTGGGATTAAATGAAATCTTGCATGGTAAATCAAATTGGACTGGGACGGTTTATGAGATAAAATGAAAATAAGTTATAGAATGTCTTTAATATTTCTTCAGCGTAAGAAATGGATATTTCATTTGTTCAGTTGTCCAGCCAGAAACTGACCATAGTAATTTGTGGTTATATGTGTTATTTACTATTCTATTTTTGTATAATTATATTTAATAATATTAAAATAATAATCATTATTATTAGAGGAACATAATAATAAAGAATTCAATTATTTCCGTCCGTGAAGCTTGTTACAAGAAGTTGTGTACTTCGCTGTTCCATTATTTGCAATATTTTTAACGTTTGACTATCGAAACTATTGCAACATCCATAAGTAACAATTTTGTATGACTAGTGCACCAAGTGATTTTAAATTGTGTTTGACTCATTGAGTTATACAACACTAGAAGAGCAAACCACATTGCCGCGCGTTTAAAAAAGTGTAACCACTATCCAAACGCGACGACGTAGTTTTGAAACTAATATTAATTTTTAATCAACATATATCTGTCTCATTTACACAAGTTGCGGAAACAATATCGTCGCTAAGAGTAGATAAAGATAGACACACAAAATTGCAATGGCGGTTTGGTCTGGCTTACTATATGAAATTTTACCTAAAATACGCAATAAAAATGAGCTTATTTTAAGCTGCAGTTAATTGTTTTTATATTAAAAAGTATATTTTATTTTAAAATCTTTATTTCAGCCCCTTAGAAAAAAGGATTCAAAGCTTATCAGATGAATAAACATAATGATGAAATAAAACATATTTTATAAGTATTTTTAATGTACTAATAAAATCAAACAATATAAAATAGGTAATGAAATATAATTAATATAAAATTTATATAAAATTATTAATATAAAATAAGAAGGTAATAAAATATATTTAATAGATAATTCATGAATAAACTAAAATAAGAGTAATTAATTATTTTGTATGAAATTTAAAACATAGTTTTTATTGTAATTTCCAATATATTTAAAATTAGAGGTAGCAAATTAACTTACTCCATTAATTATATAGTCTCCCATTAATCTAGGATAATCACAAATGCGGAAAAGTGGCAACATTGAACCTAAATGACAACATTCGATAATTTTATTTAATTATTTGAGGTTTTTTTTACGTTTATATGGAAACAAGGACTAAAAATTATGTGTTGAAAGTGCGGATTCTCGCTTGATTTATTACGTTTTTGTGACCTTGAGTAGCATTCTTTCACTACGCATTTACCCATTTTTTGTCGCGGCTCAACTCTGTCGGCGTCACATTGAACACTGAACATACGTTAGCTAGGCATATGGCTGTGGCCATATGTGCAGTGGCAACGCTTTGGCGCGGTTATTACTGATCTAGTGTAATATATAAATCAATGGTTTGACTGTCTCACTTGCGTCGTGACTAAGTGTCATATAACAAAAAGGACCGCTCAACATATTCTTAGCTTGATTTGAAAAGGACGACGATATGACGGCGAACATGCAGCGAACTCCCCCGAATCAATTTAAGTTGTGTTCATCTAATCCGGACTTGTCAACCGCTTCAACTTCAACTGATAATAATATCTTTGTTAATATGCGTAAACGCAAACAACCTGAACCCGACGAGTTGAACTCAATTATGGATACGTTAGAGTTGAAAATGGCTATCCAAATGGAATCCTTTAAAGTTAGCATTGAGGCGGTAGTCACAGACTCTATTAAAAATGCCGTAAATTTGGTACTTGAGAGAGAAATATGCAAATTAACAACATCCATTAATGATACCCCGAACCAATTTAATCTTCGGATAAAAGATATGCATGATTCGGTAAACTATATGAGTAATAGGCAAGATTTTTTTGTATTTTTTTAAATATTAGTAATCTTATTAATTAACATTACTAATATTCCTTTTAACCACTCCTGGTAAGCTTGAAAATGCTTGTGTTAGGAGTGGTTCACGACAGTAGTCAAATGGCGGATTCGAATCCACGACCTTTTGAGTTCGCGATCCGCGCCCTGCCATTAGGCTACTGTCGCTTCAAAAGATGCTTTTGACGCTCGTTTAAAAACGATCGAAGAGTATTCTCTGCGGCATAAAGAAGTCCCCACTCAGTTATCAATGCTGGAATCTAAAATAAACTTGATGGAGCAACAGGTCAGACAGTCTAATACAGAAATTGTCAATCTCCCAGAACGTCGTGATGAAAATTTGATAGCTGTACTTCAAAACATTGGCTCAATTATTAAGCACCCTATTAATCCTGCCGACATAGTATCAGTGCACAGAGTGCCGCATATGGATAAAAAAAATCCCCACGCGAAAAATGTCATCGTGAAATTCACCAAAATAATACGGGATAACGTAATTGCTGCTGTGCGGGTAGTAAAATGTGTGAAATCAGATCTGAAGTACTGATATGATATGATCAGAACTACTGATGTCAGGTACCTCGCGAAATATTTACATCAATGAACATCTGACACCCAAAAATAAGAAATTATTTCTACTCAGTCGTGAAGTGGCCAGAAAAAACAATTACAAATTTGTCTGGATTAAACATGGTACCATACTGATTCGTCAAAACGACACTTCTCCCATATTCTCAATTCGTAGTTTACAAGATATTAATAAAATTAATCCCTAATAATATTAAGAATTCACGTTATTGTTATGATAATTTAAGTAATAATTATTCACCATTGTATACCCCACACGTTCATAATTCTACTCGTATATACATAATAAAAGTTTTTGTGATCTCATTGTATGATGGCAATAACAATTTACCTAAAAGTATTTGGCTATATCGCATATTAAATCATAAAAATCATATTCAGAAAACTGTTAAACATAATTTTTCTTATCACATTTATCATGCCACAATATGCTCAGTGTTCTTAATATTTTATTTATATCTCACATTTTCTATCCGCATATTGCACCGAACGGTTTTACTTACTTGTTATAATATAATAAATCAAAATTCAACTCTAATATGTTAACTGTATAATAACCACTCGTATGTCGTAGTCATTTTGGCCAATATGGCGCATATGTCGAGCACTTCCCGAAGTACTTCCTGCTGTTCATTAAAATGACTATTTCCAAGACATTTTATATAAAAGGTATATTAAAATCATATATTCATGGAAACTTTATTAAATAAGCTATCAGATTATGTATAACTTGAATACAGGTTTACTTCGAAAGTGATACTAATTTGAAAATGAAAGTAAGAAAAGTGTTTTTCCCCCAATTTTCTGCAAAGGTGTAATAATTATAAATTAAAGACTTTATTCCAAGTACTATTTGTTTTACTTGTACGTCCAAAGCATATTTAATTATATAAAAAAAATCATAAATTTTTTTCTTTACGACAAAATCGAGAAGGGCATTACTTAGCTCTACTCGACATCGACACAAAAAATAAGGAGGTTCACAAAAAAAACAAAAAAAAAAACATTTTTAAATCAAATTTAGACAAAATCAATCATGCAGATATGTATGAATGTTATATATATCATATATATGTTACAAATAGTTTGCTATCACTCGAAGCCATATTATGGCGTTTGACAGATGCGCATATTGTTTGAGACGCCAGAATATGGCGTTTGGACAGACGAATGGACAAAATTGTCGAGGATTATGTACTAAACTGCATACTCTTTATATGAATATTATCTCGCATACATATGACATAATTGTATTAACTGAAACTTGGTTACACGCGGATATCAGCGACAATACATTTATAGACGATAGGCATTATGTTTTTAGAAACGACAGAAATCGTGCAACGACTGGCCGGCGAGACGGCGAAGGCATACTGATAGCGGTGCACCGTTCGCTTTGTGCTGTAGCTCGTCTTGAAACGCTGACGCATGACTTTGAGCCCCTCCCGCCTCTTGTTGATTTTTTATTACTAGAGTTATGCATTGCAAGCTATGTTTATATTCTCTCAGCCGTCTATATCCCACCTAATCAACATTTTGATACATATAATAGTTTTTTAAATTTATTACAAAACCAATTATCTGGATCGACTGCAAGTTTTATTATAATTGGTGATTTAAATCTGCCGAATCTTGGCTGGAATAATACCGGCCAGGCCCTTGTATCTATAATAGATTTGAACTTGAATCCCT